CTCCCACTCTGCCCCCTCCGTCTAGAGGGCTCTGCCAGGGGTGACCAAGAGGGACACCACCACCACTGACCCAGATTAGGGAGAGGGTGTGTGTGGGGAGGAGGAGTGTTGAGGGGGTGGGTATCAGCTGTGGATCATGTCACAGTCCCTACCATTTCAATTCATTAGTAGTACCAGGAGCAGACTCCAGAAACAAGGAGGGGTGGCAACCGTGTGTTGTGTGTGTGTTGGGGGTTGGGGGCAGAGAAAAGATGAAGACAGTGACAGACGGAGAAAGTCACTCGATTTCTAGACCTACTTGACCTAGAAACACATGACACAAAGACACTCGCACACTCACAGGTGCAAAGATACTCACCAGGGACCACGTCAGCCCGTGTGAAGCCTGACCAGCTGAACCTCAGGAGCAGCCTATAACTTTGATTCCCGGAGTCTAACTCTTGTACGATCTGTGTATTCCTGTCCACTTTTGTCTCTTCCCCCCACTTCTGTCGCTATTCTTTTACAGCTGAATTCTTTTCTGCTTCTGTTGTCCGACTAATTTCCTGATGATATCTTACTCCCACAGTCTGCTCCTCACAGATGCTCAGGCATCGGAAGTCATGTGGGATAAGTTCTGGGGGAAAACAGCTTTTATTTGGCCTTGATCACCTCTAACAGCGTATGTTGGCCAGTCCAAATTGTCAAAAAAAACATTCTTCGTCTCGAACTGTTTGAACTGGTTTATTTAAAGTTTAGTTGCCTTGTGCGCCATCTAGAAACTCGTAGAAATTCACGCTTAAGATTTTTGACCACACATGTACCACATAACAGCAGGAGGAGGAACAATTACACAAGAGCATTTGTAGAAATAATTATATGTTCTTCATCTGGTAGTAATCTACAAGTGAGCGCTTGCCTCCTGATTTTGGTCAGAGCTGAGAATGTAGCTCCACCACAGACTGCGGATTCTGCTGCAGTGTGGAGACAGCCAGCCACTTTGTCTGGGTCCTCTCCCGTAGATGCTCATTTTCCAGTTTCAGGAAAATTGAACTGGCTCTGGAGGACAGTTTTCCACACTGCTAGGTTTCTATATCGGAAATGACTATGCTAACTTGCTGCAAGTGGCTTGGAAGAATGACGAAAGGTGTTGTGACTAATCAGATCACGCTCGCCACAGTAGCAGTCCCCCAAGAGTGGCCTTGCTTACGCGTAGTCAGATGTTTTTCCTCCCTGGGTGGCTACAGCATAAACCAACTATTCCAGTCAGGTGATGAAAACGACAAAACAACAGTGTGACCGGCACCTGGCGGCCTCTCCCCGGCCGGCCCGTGCTCGCCGAGCAGTGCGCTCAGCTTGTTTTGCCCCTATGTTTCGGCCATGGGCTTTATGGCCTTCTGTGGGTTGAGCCCCACCTGCTATGCTGTTTCACAGCTTTCGTCCTGCATGGGGAGAGCAGTAAAAAATCTTCACTGTCAAGGACGTGGACAGGGCCACCTGACAACATGATAACATCAACAACGCAATTCCCACAACAAGCTGGCTTAGCCGGAAAACCGTTACCTTGTGACTGACTGATGCCAGGGGGTTAGAAAATGACAAAGTTCCACAATCTAATATGTAAGAGGTGGTTGGTGTTCCTGTTTCTTGTTTGATGGGTCATATTCTTTATAAAAGATCATGATTCCAAACATATTTGGCGCTCCCTGTCACAGACAGTTCCAAATGAACAAACCTGAAGTATAAATATTACTGTATTCAGCCACTTTTACCATTAAGTGGTAAATTATTATTTTATATTTATATTCTGTTCCCTTCTATAAACAGTCTTGCGCGAATTTGTAGCAGCTAAATGTTTAGTCATCAACTTTTAGCAGACAAGTTTGAGTGTAAATGGAATGCTGATGTGTTAGTTAATACCTTGGTGACCTCGATGGCCTCTCATCTGCAAGTCTTAAAAGATAACTAGTCTTAAAAGATAACAATGCACGGGCTACAATAAGGGATGATTAGCTTAATAACAATTGGCTGATCCAAAACAACAGTGTGTGTAAAACGTGGTGTCAGTGCCTGGGTCAGGAGGGACAAAAGCTTGGGCTCCGCAGCTCTGTAGGCTGTCAAAGCTGACGGAGAAGACTGAAGCTCCTTTGATGAAAGTCAGAGTGAGAGCCCTGAGCAGAGGAGGAGGAGGAATCCTTCACGCCCACACACACACACCAAGCATTACAGAGAATTAAGTTTCACCGCTTTTCTTGCTACTCAATTATCCCCTCATGATGGACCTGCACTTGTGGATGAAAAAGATACTCCTCTGGTACAACACTGGCTCTCCACATGACAGTTTGGCTCTCCTCCTGCTCCCTCCCTCCGTCTCCTCTCACAAGATGGTCCTCATTAATCCACACTCTGTCTCGTTGTTTCCAGAAATAAAAGGAGACAGTTTGTTTGTCCAGAAACAAGGTGTTTGACACACAAAAAGGACTCAAGGACTAAGGGCTCTTTCAGCAGCAACGGAAGCCCCCAGTTATTAATGTGCTGTTTTAATGTTGGTGATTATTACCATAAAATGTTTGTTTTTTTAAGTCATAGGGGGGGTAGCTGTAAATAAAATATCCTGGAATCAAATTTAATTGGGAAGCGAGGGGACAGAGGAGGGGGTGCTGCTAATTATGCGTGACGATTGTTGATGGCTTGATTGTCTGCGTCCAGCTGCACGGAGGAGCGGGGAGAGGGAGAGGGAGGGCGGGGAGAGAGGCAGACTCACTGACGCCGGCCTCGGAATTCTCCCATCCATTGAAAGAGAGACCCGATTGTGTCCGGGCCCTTTCCGACAAGCACCTGATCCCTGCCCAGACACACTGGTGCAAGTGTGTGTTTCGCACAGATTTACCCACTGAGAAGTCTGGAATCTGCTGCTTTGGCTAAAGAATGATGTTCTTTCCCTCATTTAAATGTCTCATTATTTTAAGAAGAGTATGTGAGACCACTTTTATTGAGTATGAAATCAAATTGGTGATTAAAATCCAATTTTCACTCAACGTGGAGGTTTGTTATCCCAAATCGCCCTGTCCCTGTAAGGTTTCAGTAACCAATTCAGCAGATGTGACTCTTTTCCCAAAAGGTCTGGGATATCTGAAGCAATATTTGTTCTCCTCTTGACATATTTAAGAAAGCTATTTAAGGTCAAAGTCTTGTTTGGATACTTGGCGCCACTCACACAATATATCTTTAAAACAGCGCTCGATCGAAGCCCTGTCTCACGGTTCAATATTATGGTTTGCTCTAAAGTGAGGTCGTTGAGTGACTTGTCACCCGGGGTCAGCGGTTGTGAGGAGATGGGAGGGGTGCCACGGGGAGGGCAGATGTGGCTCCAACATCTGTTAGGCCTCTGTATAACCGGGGTTCCTCCAACCGTGTGCATTTACGAACACATGACCAGGCTCAAGATATAAGAATATGGTGTAAGTTTAGCTGGGTGTCCTACTTAATCCCGCGTTGCTTCTTGTGAGGTAATATCATTCAGTCTGTGGACAGTTTGTTATAATTCCAATAATATTACACAACATAAGGGATTGTTCACACCCTATGAACGGGTAAGACTTATTGCAGTTGCATGATTTCGACGTATGCCATGTAATCTTAAAAAAGACATTTAAGCGTCATCATCATTACAAAAAGCTGTGGAACATTTGGAAAGTTACCACTTCATTTGGCTAGTTTGCAAGCACAGACGCAAGCGTAGGAGCAGAGGGAAAGGGGGGGGGGGGGTGGATAGAAGCCTTAATCCGTGAGTGACAGATTGAGGCAGCCAATCGGATCTCCGAGCGCCTGTGCTTCTTTGGGCTCAGATGGCTGACGGGGGAGGGCGGGCCGTCTGCCAGAGAGGGGAGTGCGCGTCGGGGTGAATGGATGACGTCGGGAGGCTGGCGCCAGCATGTCTGGGACTGGCGCGTTAGATCAACACAGCTGGGCCGGGATAGGACACACAGCTGGCTCAGGCCTGCATTCCTCTACAAAACAGGATTGTGAGAAAAAGGGGAAAATAAGATCCAAATAGGAGCAGAACGGGACGTCCTTTGATGTAAACTAAAAAGGGAGCTATAGCGTTTGAAATCTTTTAAAAACGTAACTTTCGCCACACTTTCGAACAGAGGATGTTAGATTTAGACCATACGCGATATGGGGGTTTTTTTTTTTTTTTTTTTTTTTTGCGCACATTTCTCAGTCTCATTGTGAAAAAAAGAGACATAATGAATAGTCTCCAACATAGAGTATAAAGGGGCTGAAATAAACTTGTAGACTCCCAATCTATCCAGAGCCAGAATATAAACTCTTCAGTATCAGCCACTGAATTATACAATATGTCGAAATTCAGAGAAATAAAATGAATATCAGTTGACCTTTTACCCATATTACACACGTTTTCTGGTCTACTATTTTTTAGAGGGTGGTGTGTTGTAAAAAAGTGGAAACCCGTGAAATTAGATGATTCATTTGGATGAAGTAAGGACCCAACATATTCCAACATACAGCGAGATGTCCAAAATAATAGATGTAATACAGATGAGTCAAAGGGGAAGAGATACAAGTCAAATCTATATTGGTAGACATACTTCTTTTGGTTAGACTTATCCATTAGAAATGTAAGAAACACGTTATCTGGTGTTACTGGGAGGTAACACGTTTATCTTTATCTGGTTTGTATGCTTTAACAGCCTACCACCTTACTGCCCATCTCCTTCAGGCATCCCGTGTTAATTTCCTCATTCTTCGCTGCCTTTTTCCACAAGGTGACACCAGCCAATCAGGAGGGGTTTTGCCTTTTGACATCGGCCAATCGCAACGCGGTGCGAGAAAGGGGGCGTTTCGGGGCACACATTGTATAAAGACCAAACTGGCCCTTCTGCTTGTCACAACACTGTAGCTTTTTCGGGACAGTGACTCTCGCCCGCAATCCAAACGGAACAGGAACCAAACAGTCCGCCACTTTTTTTCCCCCATCATCAATCTCCCACCACCAGCCAGCATGAAAGCCATCAGTCCGGTCCGCTCGGCGAGGGGCTGCTACAAGGCCGTGTGCTGCATCTCGGAGCAGAGCCTGGCCATCGGCCGGAATAAGCACGCGTGCGCAGACGAGCCCGCGGGCGCCCTGTGCGACATGAACGACTGCTACTCCAAGCTCAAGGAGCTGGTGCCCAGCATCCCGCAGAACAAGTCCGTGAGCCAGGTGGAGATCCTCCAGCACGTCATCGACTACATCTTCGACCTGCAGATCGCGCTGGAGGCGGAGGACCAGGCCACGCCGGAGATGGTTCTGTCGATAAAGGTGAGCCGTGGGGCCGGGGGGCTGGACCTCGTCGTCCTTGTGTCCTTTTTTCGAATGTCCAGACTCTGTGGTCTTTACCGTGTGGGTGTTCTCTCGGGAGATCGTGACCGGGAATTCGATCTGAATCGAGATCTGTAGTCTTTAAAAGCTCGGTGCTCCTCTCCGCACAGCATCTCATCTCTGCTCGATGTTGATATTCAGCATTAAATGTTGGTGATCTCGGGATTTACGCGTGTTCTCTGGCACACAGGCTATTCTAATCTGACCCATAAGAATGCGACCAGCCTCTAAAACCTGTCTTTTTTTCTTCTATTCATTCAGGCTGCCGACATTACGAGCAATTTCTCATAAGAAGAAGAGCCATTACAATGAAGATGACACATTGTGGTACGTATTGTTATTTTTATTTTAAGATCTGCCTTATTTAGAATAGTTTTAAATGTCTTAAAACATATTTTAACGCACGTTCTACGCATGTCTGTCATTCAACCCAAAGATCCTTCGGTCATTCCTTCACGTCTCGCTAAATCCGGGTGTTTTTTAAACTTACCAAGTTAAGTCAGTTAGAGTAAAAACCTGGCGTAAGCACTGGTGTGTAAGGGAAAACAGTTTACCCCCCCCCCCCCTTTCGCTACACATTCACCATGCTTCCAATTAGACAGGCCAGTGATTGTGGAGCGGATCCATCGCTATCTGCCTGGGGTTAATGAAAGTTCCACGCCAGGCGCCAGTCTGTCTGCTCCCCTCTGCAGGGAGGAGGGAGGGAGAGATCTGACTTCACTTTTCTTCCTTTCTCTCCATGCAGGTGCAGGGAAACACATGTCTCCACTTCACTCCGGGCAAGAGGACAAGAGGGGCAGAGAGGGTGGGATAGGTATTTCTGCAGAGAGAGGAGGGCGTTAAGGGAAGAGCAAAGCGCGGACTGTTTCCTATGAGAGGGGATCCACAGCAGAGCGTGAGCAAGAGAACACACTTGCTCTCCGGCTACTGGACATACAAATCAACACACCAAAGCAGGAGCCAGGATGGGAAAGTTAAAGCGACCAACTGTGTATGTCTTCCTCACAAAGCTGGGATTCCATATAGGTAGAATTAGAAATATTTGGTACACTGTCTTTTTTTTTTCTTTTTTTTTTTTTTATTTCAATTCATTTTTAGAACACATTCCGAACAGACCTTTCGGTGGGCGGATCTCCTCGCCCCATCCTGAGCCTATCTTCAACAAGTCTTGTATCACCTCACATAGTTATCACCCCGAAAACAATGTCTCCTTGTGATCTGGGTCCTGTTCAAATGTAGGCATGTGTACATTTCTGCTGTGGGTAAGGTGTGAGTCGTTTTGGATGTCTGTATTTTTCATGGGAGTTTTTCTTTGTAATATTCCAAACTCTATACTAGAGTTAATTCTAATTGTTTGTAGGGATCGTTGTATTTCTACAGACCATGAGCTATGAGTTTCATAAACTCTTTATAATAAAGTTTGGTTTGTATGTATGTTATGTAATGAAATAAAACATAATGCTGTGGAGCACTGTGGCTGGCGTGGAGTATTCGGAGTGAAATGATGAATGAGTTTGAACTGCTGTTCCGCACAGGATTTGAGTGATGCTGACATGACATTTTGTCTATGGATGTCAACAAAGTGCTGATACAACAGGATGTATTTAGATGAATCTTGAGGTTGAGCGGTTGGAAATCAAACAAAGGGAGTTTCCTGTAACTGTTTCTACTTTTCCAGTTAAAGTAGATCAAAACTCTCTATGAAGTAGATTAATCTGAAAAGGATGTTCAGAAATTAAATGGCCCATTATAAACTAACATCACAAAGAAAAATATATACAGTATTTCTAAATCCAGAGTCCCATTTATGAATGATAACTTTAGAAATGGTCCAGTAACACGTGCTGTCTGGGAAATGTTTCTGCAATCTTCAGAACTCAATATTCCAGTTTACCTGTCAAATGTATCCACAAACTGTGTCGTTGTGTGAATTATAATCAGTACACCTGGATCATACGTTTTAAATTTGGGGGTTTCACAGCCTATCCCTTTATTTAAAACTTATCAAACGTTCGTTAAAGTAACAAAACAGTTCTCTCTACTTTGCGGAAAACCAGACAAGAGCACGAGGACCATGTTCCAACCCTCAGACTGCGAGTAAAAATGCAATCATAGCTCCATCTAGTGGTCAAAAGGGGGTACAAGTCTTATCAACGTTCAAGCCAGTAAAATACAAACACACAACTTTATAGATAGTAAAATAAAATAAGTTTGTGAATTTTTCTAATTCTATTTATGTGAGGATTTTTACTGTAGTGCAGTTGGCGCTGTCAAAGGAAAGTTCAACTTTAAGAACACATCAATGATGTGAAAGCTGTTATTTTCTCTATTTAAAGCCCATTTAAATTTCTTCAATAGTTATTCAACTAGAAAAAAAGGTTTTATATATATACAGAAATGTTCTTTCTAAACAATGTCCTTGTAAATATATGTTGTGGGTCCATATGGCAATAGTAACGCAACAATTCCTACACTCTGTAGACAAAGTAATATTGATATGAAAAAATATATATTTATGATAAAAATCTAAATGTGAGCATGGAAACAAAGGCCTCACGGTCTGTTATGACCACATTCATCAGGTACAGATTTAATGGTTGATGAAAACATTTACAAGCAGATGTATTTTAATCCAGAATCCTAAAAAAGTCGACAGATTGGTTAAATGAAATTAACACTTTAAGATCCAGGCCATTTTTCAAATGATTTCAAGCAGAGATCTGAAAATATTTAAATGGTATTCTAAAAATATGTAAATTATGGAAATGTTTCTCACCAGAACTTTACCAGGATTGTCCAGGGTACATTTTCTGGCAGAGGTTTTGTCGAAATAAGTTGTTTCTTCTCAATAAACTTTTGACATTTCAATGAATGAATCAAATCTGGATCATTAATGCATAATCCTGAAGAAACCCCTGACCTCATATTTAGGGGTGTTGATCATTCAGCCACTTCTTGTTTCCAGCTCATCTGGGTAGCTGTATTTTTGCATGCCTTGCAAGTGTCTGCAGCGATTTGCAGGTTTCCTGAATCCACTGCAGTGAAATATGAGATGAAGTGTCTGGTGGTCTTATACATAGTTGTACAATGGAGGAAAAATTTTCCACTTGAATTGTCTAAGAAAAGAGTGCTATCCTTGGAGTAACTGGAAGTGCACGGTCACAATTAAACAGCATTAGACATAATATCCACAGTTTAGTATCTCTTTTATGTATATTTTCAACTATCAAATTAACATTGTTCGTGACCATAGAAGAAATGATCAGGTGCCAGCTTACACCACAAGATGGGGTTGTTGGATGTGTATTCAACAACAGGTTCTACCAAGAGGCAAGCAACACATGCACCAAAAACACAAGATAAGCTTGTTCATGTTGAAATTAATACCTGCAAAAATAAAGATAAAGAATTAAATCAATGGATAACATTTTTACAATCAAAGGCAGTTGTTTTATCTGTTGTGCACCAGAAAGAATTAGTTCACAATGACTTCCATATCTAAGTCATGCATGAAGTAAATGTTGTTTTTTTCTTTTTGGAACAGCCAGTTTCTGGCTACAATAATCTTACTTATGAACTACAGAAGTTGCCATATATACAGAAATAACTGAACAAACTGTTCAGCGCTTCACAAAGTGTTATACAAATCACAACAGGACCTGCAATTGTAACATTTTCAACTAATTGAGTGTGAAAAATAACCAAACCCTAACCAGGAAAAGGTCATACCCTTTCCTATAATATACAGTGATAACATGATCCAAGCCGTATTATGATTTTCCCACATAAAAACAGTGATAACTAGGTTTCTACTCAGCAGTAATAAGACATTAAAGTTGTTCATGAGCACAAGATAACCCATGAAAAAAAACTATTTCAAAGGTTACACTGTAATCACTCCAGATCTTGTGCCTGTTTATAACACTTGGCCAAAAACTGAAATACCACCCTGTCAGATAAGAAAAAGGGTTTGGTTCTGACTTCTTAAGTGTGCTACCATTCCCTTTAATGTTTAAAGAAGAAGCAGAACAAAGAGATTACGTAAAACCGAGGCCCAGTTCTGTTTTTGGCCCTTGTCTTCACTGTCGATTATAGAAATCAAGTTAATCTCTTCACTAACTGGTGAATAAGAATGATAATTGATGTTACAAGCGAGGAATTGCAGTCAATTTTGGTTCAATCTCCAACCTTTAAATTGAAATCCACAATTTAAAGTGAACATCGAGCCCATTTGATTTTGTCATGACCTCATAAAAAAAATTTGAATATCGTTGATTCAACTTGAAACACAGTTCATACTGAGGCATGACAATTGGTCTTGCTGTGGTCTGGAGTCGACATTGTCTCGGCCAATGGGGGTCATGGTCATATGGCTTGGGTTTGGTCTACGCTTGGGGGAGGGGGTGTTTTCTTTCAATATCTCTTGTGAGCCAATAAGCAAGAGTGGTACTGGTGAATCCCATTATCATTACAGACTGTCCACAGCAGCACCTTGCTGCTGGCCACAATGCACTTTAATAAGACATTAAAGCCATTTTAAAGGACAAAATCTTACATTGTGCCCAGGAGAGAGACTCGATGAGGGTGCATTGTACTTCTACACATTATCTGTATTTATTGTAGATTAAACAGCATTTGCATATATTTAAAAAACAATTTTCAGGTTTCCTCTAAGCTTTCCTGAATATCTTTTTTCCCCTACACATTAATGTGAAAATAGCTGACCAGAGAAGCTATTCCCCACTCAACCTGTTCCTCGCTGGGTTAAGCTTGGGTCATTATTAAGCACCATTTTAAGATAATACTAGAATATATGACACTATTGTGTCATGAATGGAAGACTTCACAGTGTTTCTTTACGTTTTGAATTAGAATGACATCCTCCTAACGTCACGAGTTAATACTAAACAACATATAATGACGTAAAGTTTAAAAAGTGTTTCTTTTTTCAACCTGTACACAGTGTTCCTTCCCTCGTTGTTTGTAATAATGTTATAGGGATGGGATTACAGTTCTATTACAGCTCCAATAAATGTTTAAAACGAACATATAGTCTGAATTATCCTTATGTTAAAGCCCACTGGAGCCCGTGGGGCTGCTGTCCCTTTAAGAGGACTGTCCCTCTCCTGTACAACTGTTTTATGCAAATGTGACAAGCCGAACGTGCCGGCAGCCAATGGGAGGCGAGCTCCAACCGCGGGAGATCTAAATTTCGCGGGATGAGGTTTGGCGCTAAAAAAGACTCTTGTCCCCCAGCTCTTGTCGTAGTGGGAGAGGAGGACGGACTCTGTTCTTGGACCGGGTCGCTTTCAGCCTCAAAGGGAGTCCTGCAGGTTCTAAATCTCCAGCTGTAACCCGACCCGCCCCAGACCTGCAAGCCCCGTGGGGTCCGACTATAGAGTACTGGATGTGGAACTTTCTTTATTTATTCAGGATCATATCTGTGTAACCGGTAAGACACCTTTTTCTTACATTTTTTTTGACACGGGACAAAGAAAAAAACTAGAGTGACCGGTCTATTAAATGTTCAACCGGCCATTTAGAATATAAAAAAACAAAACGAGGCGCTTTTATTGCCTGTGGAAGTGGTGCATTTTTGCATGGGATCGGGTTATTTGGGCTGTGCTCTTTGCTCTCTTTGTTATTGAGGGGACAGCCCGTGCATTATCTGGGAGCCTGCAGCTACCAGAAGCATCTCTGGCTCTCCTCAGCTCTCCTCAGCTCTCCTCAGCCCCTCGCTTGACCAATCCGGTTTCGATTCCGTTTACTCAGGGGGAAAAAAAAAAAGATGATGCGAGTGCCCAAAGGCGTGTGTCCGGCGTCGGCTCGGCCAGCGGCGGGGCTCCCCTGCGGCCAGCAGAAGATGAAGCTGGTGCCCGTCGGGGCTCTGCAGACGGACTTCTTCAGCTGCGGACTGTCCAGCCCGCCGATGAGCACCGTGCCGGCCGGCTACTTCACCCAGATCTGCAACACCAACGCGGCCGAACAAAGAGCCCACAGCCTGTACTCGACCCCCCACGGACCCGAGGCTAAACCCATCAGATCATCCTCCGGCCGACTGCCGGTAAGGAAATCAAACACACTCCCGCCGATACATTGTTGTATCTGATCATAAGGGGTGCGTTGTGTTCGGTGGGGCTCTCGTGGGGTTTCGTGGGTGGAATAATTCTCTCCATTTCCATTGGCACGCTTGCTTAAGCCTTCAAATATGTTTGGACGTGATAAGCCACAGAGGGGCCAGTGTGGGCCCGGACGGTCCAGCTGCAGCCCCGGACCAGACGCCCTGTGTGGGCTGCTGGTTCTGATGGGGACAGAGACAGGAGGGGGGAGGGGGGGGGGGGTAGTTAGCAAACCCCCACCCTACCACTGCCACCCTGATGTGGAGAGAATTGCTTTTACACAACCATGAAGGAGGCAAGACCAGGCCAACTGAGGTCACCTCACGCTCACAAACACACACACATAGTTTAGTTCTTCAGCAGTTTTTCTATGTAACTACGCTCACAAACACACACAGTGTAGTTTTTCAGCAGTTTTTCTGTGTAACAACGCTCACAAACACACACACGGTGTAGTTCTTCAGCAGTTTTTTTTTGTGTAACTATGCTCACAAACACACACACAGTGTAGTTTTTCATCAGTTTTTCTGTGTAACTACGCTCACACACAGACACACACACACACAGTGTTGTTTTTCAGCAGTTGTTCTGTGTAACAATGCTCTCACACACACAGTGTAGTTTTTCAGCAGTTTTTTCTGTGTAACTACGCTCACACACACACACACACACACACATTGTAGTTCTTCAGCAGTTTTTCTGTGTAACAACGCTCACAAACACACACAGTGTAGTTTTTCAGCAGTTTTTCTGTGTAACGCTCACAAACACACACACATTGTAGTTCTTTAGCAGTTTTTCTGTGTAACAACGCTCACACACACACACAGTGCAGTTCCTCAGCAGTTGTACTCTAATAATGTCCATAGACAGCCACACTCCTCATGCGTCGCCACAGGACCTGTATAACCTGTTCATACAACCGTAGGAAGGAGGGGCAGGTCTAAAGTCTTAACCGAACAACCTTTTTTTTTTTCCCAGAGTGCTGTTGTGTTGTAGAATGATTTAGATATCAGTCATGTGTGGGGGTGAAAAACTATAAACATGTAAAACGAGAGGGCTTCCTGTAACGGCTCCACACCTGCTATTTGTTGCTGTGTTTTGTGTGTGTGTGTTTCTTCCTTTTAATCTAACCAGCCAGGCCTGGGAGGGGTGTTTTTAGCATCAGCGTTCTGCAGTAGGGCTAAATGGGTTAGGAGTTAGAGGGTGAGCAGGGGCTTCAAATCTCATGTTAACCCCGTGCCCTGAGAGCCTGCCTCCACTAATAGGGCCTTCAAGAGGATTACTTGGACACTGGGACATAGGCAACCACCTGGCTTATCATATGCTGCGGTGAGCTCACTGCCCAAGTCACCGGGCCAACGCGGGTTTGTACGCGTCCCGAGGTGGAATTCTGGTTTTCCGTTCACACACGGAACTGTTAAGCCAGTGCAAAGAGCAGGTCACATGACCCGAGCTGGTTCCTTCTATGTTTCCACCATAATGCGGTTACAGAGTCATATCAGGTGCCTGTGCCCATCATCATCCGGGTCGCTGTGATATCAGTGCTTATCAATCTATGGAGGATTAAAAAGATGAGTTAATTTTCTCTCTAATTATGTCAGGAAAAGCCTTTGAAACTAGACCTAAAGAACTGGGGCTTCCCACTATACATAACTAAAATGGCAGATGAAAGGAAGTTTAAATAAATCTATGGAGCTTCTGGGCTTACTCTGGACCTGTTTGATGAGTGTTTTGGCTGTAAATCACAATCAACTGCCTTGAAAATGGAGGGGTTGTCACAGCTGTCTTCTGTTCAGCTGTGCCACTTAAGTGTACAGGAAATGTTACCATTTTACATACAGCTCACTTCCTGTGACCTAAACAACAAAAATAACCACCACTTTTTAGTTTTTTGGGCTTCGGGAGGGGATGCTCGAGGTCGAATTCTTTCACCCGTGAACCTGCATTGTGTGTCAGTAAAACGTCAAGACCCTGGACAGTTCTGGTTTGAATAACTGCAATTAATGTCCTAATTAAGTCCCACATTTTAACCAATGGTGTGCCAAACTGGAACGGCTTTTCGGCCCGCTTGTCCCCTGATGTCAGCTTTCTGTAAATCTTTTTTTGCTCTGTTCCTTTTTCTGGGAAAATACTTGAAGCTGCTTCGAGCTTCTTGTGATGACTTGAATGACTTCCCCGGGGTGCCTGTGGTTAACCCCTCATTCAGACCCATGCTCGGGTGTGACATTTGTCATGTCGCCGGCTGTAAGCATGCACTCCTCCTAGCAGTCACCTGGTTTTTCCACGGCCTTAAGCATTAGATCCTCTGTAGGGAGAGTTTTGCATTTCAAAGCAGCCACCCTCCCCCCCAAGCAGCGAATGGAAAGATTCACCCATCTCTTTTACCTCTTAATAAACATGTTTGCAATCAACTATGCAAAGCATCCCCTTTTTTATAGTCTTTCTCTGAGCAAGTGTGGGAACTGTGGCGGCTCTGTTCAGAGAAACAGATAGTTTCCGGCGTACTGTAACTTGCCTTTGTCTGGCATGGAATCTGATCCCTGTGCAGCCTGACCGGTAAGGTTTGTTGGTTTGAGGAGAGGCCTGACTGCACAAGCCCTTCACGTGACCGCCGCTCCATGTGTGAACTCTCCACATTTCCCCACAGTGGCGGGAATAAGCCAAAGAATATTGAGCAAACAGAGGAAGCCACGCGCGGGGCTTGGGCGTGACCAGGCATGGGTGAGGTTGCTGCAAACATGAGTGATACTGCAAGTCCTGAAGATAAAGGGCCAACGAGAGGGGATGTGACTCACACCTTTACCACCTCTATTCCAGCCTTTAAAAGTGGTCCGTGACCGATTAAACAGCGAGGGCTAACCCTATCTGTGCACAAAGCTCCGATCGCTGGAGCCTCCGTCTCAGGATAACCGGCCATCTTTCCATCGGATGAAACTTGTGTAATATGGTTGACTCACCAGAGAAATCCCTCATGCAAATCAGCACCTAAGCCCCCGACTTGGAGGCTGTACAGCTGCAGAGTGAAACGGCCGGTTCCCTTTTCACGGCCAGCCGCCGTGCCGGCTGTGGCCCTGACAAAAACAGAATGAAATGTGAAAGTGGTGCGGGTCGCTTTGCACATTTAGGTCGTGGAAGTCTGGAGTGCTCTATGTTCGGAAAGCAGCACACACACTGGGTTGAAGCCACAGCTGTCACCTAGTCCCATCTCACTCCTCCCCACGACGCCTGGTGGGGACGCTTTCTGTCCCTCAGTAGATTCTATCAGAGTCGGTCAGGTTAGCACGTCGCTGCCTGTCCAGCTATGCGCCTCTCTGTGTGTCCTGTTGCTCTCACTCTCTCTCTGAGCGTATGTTTTAGGGATTAACGTCCTCCGGCCAACAGCCCTTTCACTTGGAGCGCCGCTCCAGATGTCGCCGGTCAACAGGTGGACGTGTCAGGAAGCACATTTGGACAACGGCAACGTTCTTTAGTCCCCGCGCTCACATAAGCACATCAACACATGGCCGAGTGGGTTCAGCGCTCTCCGCGGCCATAAAGACGACAGTTGCCTAAACCTGTTGGCTAAATCAGCTCGCCAGCCTCATGAATATAGCCGTGACAAAGAGGGCTTTTGTTGCCCCGCGTTCGCCAGGAGACACGGGGAGACAGGGGAGGGCGCGGGAGCGCACGTGTAGGTGAGGGCCGAACCAGATGGAACAGATTACCCGGCAGGCTGAAGGCCTGAGCTGAAATCCTGCGTTAGCTCGGTCTCTGCAAAACGGAGTAGAGTCACGGCTGACTGACAGATTTCCTCCACCGCTGTTGTTCGTTGGCTCCAGTTCAGACCGAGTGGGCAGGTCCACTCTTTACTTTCGCTTCTCTTATCATATGGGTCAGGGCCAAACCGAAAGGCAACTTGATGATGTTTGGTTTATATGAGGGGAGCAAAGGTTGCGTGAGGGATTGGAGCTGCCGCGAGGTTCCTCTCACATCGCAGTGATCGGCGGCTAATCATTTGTTTATGTAGATTGCCCGTGTGTTAAGCCGCGGAACGAAAGAGGCAGAGGGAAAAGAGGCTAAGGAGGGGGAGGAAAGGTCATAGAGTGATTCCAGGGACTTCCTGGCGCTCGGCTGGCTGTGTGTTGAGAACAAGTCGGCTCCCCCTCCTCCTCCCCTCCATCCCCATTTGCCCACACACAATCAGCCTCTCTTGAAGTGCTTGGGAAAGTGTGAGGGGGGCGCTTTGTTCTGACACTTGAGGATTGTTGGCACATTTACGACACAGGGCTTTGTAACAAACCCCTATTTAGCCCATTTTGCCTGCGTTGGTTTCAGGGTCTCGACTTGGCCTGCACAATGCATTTGAACAGGGAAAATGGATGGGCTGAATAGTGGGGATAATAAACCGCTATCAGTAGATGCGGGGATGAAAAGGGCTGCAGCTTCGCAGCAAATAGAATGCCTATAAGACACACCCTGACTTCATTGTTGTCATTTCCCCCCCTCTAATCCACTCAAACCTTTGTTTTCCAGGCTAAACGGAAGCTGGATCTAGAAGATCCTCTATACCTGCCAGAGTTCCGCACACCTAAAGGCAAAGGCTGCATTGCAGCAAGGATACCAAGCCCACGCAGTGAGTAGGCCTCATGGCTCAAATGTGCGTGTGTGTGTGTGTGGGAGGGTCGTATTAAAGTCGTATTAAGACAAACGTTATGAGGAATGCAAAAAAACTGAAAGGCGATAATGATCTTATTTGGACTAGAGCAGCAAACCTATGCATGCTTTTTAATCTCTCATCTGTGCTTTTCCCGGGTTTATCTCCACTCTCAGCTCCGAAGTCTCCGGGTGAACGGACCCGATACGACACCTCTCTGGGTCTGCTGACCAAGAAATTTGTGGGGCTGATTGCTGAGTCTCCTGATGGAGTTCTCGATCTGAACTGGGCCACTGAAGTTCTCGAGGTCCAGAAGAGGCGCATCTATGACATCACCAACGTACTAGAGGGCGTCCAGCTGATCCGAAAGAAGTCCAAGAACAACATCCAGTGGCTGTAAGTCCAGACACCAAACACAGGACCACATGTTGGGGATTTACGCAGTGTGTGGTGATGTTGGACTGTTTTCACAGCAACAGCTACAAATTAACACCAAAGCTTTTTGTTTTTTTTTTACACCAAAAGCAAAAGCAGGATCTTTAAATGTGCTGCTTCAAATCCAGTACAGCTACAGAGTCTTTAGATCTTTTCCCATGTCCAAAAAAGGCATGGGAGTTCCAAAATACTGAAGTTGGGAACGGTCGTCTTTGGGGAGAACATGTGTTTAATAGTGAAAGTAAGAGCATTTTGTACCAACTCAGGGGACTGACGCTGAACAAAAATTACAGAGGAGAACACCTCAAAAGGAGATGATGATATAAGATGATATAAATTATAGCATTGGGGACCAAAACAACTGAAACCACACCATAAAACTTCCACTCTTGCACAATCTCGCCATGACAGACAGGAAAGTGCTTTGGAACGGACAGGGAGGTTATTAGAAATCAGAGTTTCTGTCACGGCTCACTCATTGCAAAGTGCATTTCATCATGTCAACTGCCACACATGATTTCCAAAGCAAAGATCTTCACTTTCTCTTTAATAGACAAGCAAAAGCTACAGAAACATTTTGATAATCGTCATTTGCTGAGGTCAGGATTTTTTATTATGTCTGTGTCTGGTAAATAAAGTATTTTTTCATTGCATCTCATACAGACGGACTCCTCCACGTTGAGTTTGAACCTGTTGGGGGATGTAAAAGTAAAGTCTGTCTCATATTGCAGCACAGAAGCGGTAATGTGGAAAAAGGTCATGAGATTTGTACAGAGAGGCTGATCGAGATACTCTCCGACCTGCAGAGTCTGGAAGAAGATCAATGTTAAAATCTAAAGCCTCTTCAGAAATCTCACAAGAGTTTCTTAAAGAAACAACAAACTGTGAGATTGGCATTTTGTGTGTAAAAGCATCCAATAAATGCTAACTAGGCTACAATGGTTCAGTCTGGCTGATAATGAGCATTGCAATAAAGTTAATGTCAGTCCAGTGCTTTCGTTTGTTTTTCACTTTTAGAAAATATTCCAAGTTGGCATCTCTGCAGTTTGACTAATGATCCCATCACCTCTGCCATTTACCAGAAATGTTACAAACTGTAGGCAGCTCTGCAGCTCAGAGCTTACACACCCTTAAATGCCCTCTAGTGGAAGTGAGAAGGCTGTCCATTATGAGCAGTGAACAGTTTTCAAAAACTCACTTGTCTTCTGACAACACCAATGCGTAAATCGGCTTACTTATTATTGCCTGTGTGTGTTTTTCTAGTGTGGGAGACGTGTTTGAAGGTGGCGCCTCCGGGGGAGCGAAGGCCTGTGCCTTGAGGAAAGAGCTGGGAGACCTGGAGAAGGCGGAGAGGTCTCTGGATGAGATGATTCAGTCCAGCACCGCTCAGCTCAAACAGCTCACAGAGCACAAAGACAACCAGAGATATCCTTTACGCACGGCCTCAACCCTCTGTGACTGTCCTCTGTGATCATTTTTGCTCCTCTAAAACCTTGACTGCTCGCTGTACGCTGGGCTACGTGACGTACCAGGACATCCGCTCCATCGGCAGCCTGCGAGACCAGACGGTAATTGCTGTCAAAGCCCCGGCGGAGACCAAGCTGGAGGTGCCCGACACTGCAGGGGTGAGTCCAATGTTCTCTTTCGGCCTACGGTATAAATATCTGTACGTGGGCATGTGATCGATTCAATCTTTCTCTCTTTGTGTCTCCTTACAGCAAGGCTCTTTGCAAATCTATTTAAAAAGCCGAAACGGCCCGATAGAAGTCTACCTCTGTCCCGAGGAGGGGCTCGAAGACGCCAGCCCTGTTAAGGGCGCCCTCAGCCCTAAAAAGGAGTGTCCTCAAAGCCTCAACCCGCCGGTGGCAAATCCAGTGGCGCAGCAAAGTTACAGCATCAAAGAGGAGCCTGCTGAGGGTAAGATGGGCATCCAGCACCCTGGGTTTTGTTTTCTTTCTTATACACAGATATTCTCTATTTTGATTATTCCTGCACCCAACCATGAAGGTCATGGGCTACATTTCTGAGTCTAAGGAAACGGTTTTACGCAAAGGCTGTAATTCAGGAAGTTGTAGATAACCAGGTCGTTATTCCTTCATCAGCAGAAGCAGGAGTCTAGAGACAAATGGGAATTAGGGGCCGGGGTGAATCATTAGCAGGACTGTGTGCAAAGGTTAAAGTGTGCCTAACACCTCCATGAGAGCAGCCTGGTGGTTTTATGGTTTATCCTGCTGGAGCGATGAATAAATCAAGTGTTACGCTATAAAACTGTGTCCGCTGAAATTGAGTAGTTTAAAAGTCTGTTCAGCTCAGTATTTTAGCAATCTCTTAGTCCTGCTCTTCAGGATATGAAAGAACATGATCTCCAAAGCACAAGCCTGCATTGTATCTCATGACCAATATGGAGAAACTCCTCTGGTTTAAAAAAAAGTGGACTTTTATGTTTGAGGGGGTAAAAAAATAAGGTTTCTCACTTGATGGATTTCCCTACAAAAAAAGGTCTTGAGCTCAGTCTCATTTTGTGAGTTATTTAGTGGTGAGAGCTTGTAAAACCAACAGTGAAGGGGGGTTACCATTACTGAACAGGCATTCATCATTCAGTCCGAAGCAACATCACTCCTTACAAACGATTTATGACCAGAGATTAGGCAGATGTGACTGAAGGCTTCATAATGGCAGTCGACCAACCGAGGATGACATAATTTATAATTTATCTCTCCCATCTAGCATACACACAGTGGTTTCAATATACACCAATATAATGAATTGTGTTACCTAAATCTGGAAAAGCAACAAAAAGGAGAGTCTGATGATATTAATGGACACGCTGTTGACATCTAAAGTCAGTCACTGCTGGATTTGTTGGGCTGGGTTCATCAACCTGTTTTCCTGTTTTTTTTTTAATGTTGTTTTGTTTTTTTCAAACAGGCAACGTTTCCTCCGCAGCCCCGGCTGCCGCCTCCACGTCCTCCCTGCTTGACGTCGAGAGTCTTCTGGGTTTGCCCCCTGGCCTGCTGCAGATCACCGAGGACCAGCTTCCTTGCGCCTCCTTCGCCTCGGATCCCAGCACGCCCTTCGTCAGTTTCTCCCCGCCTTTGGATCACGACGACTACCTCTGGAGCCTAGAGGACGGCGAGGGGGTGTCAGATTTCTTCGACACATATGACCTGGGAGATTTATTGAAGAGCTGAGATACAGAGAAGGGGGTGAGAATATGTAGGGGGAACAATTATTTAAGTAAAGGCCTTTTTGGGGGCGGGAATTATCATACTATGAAGCCATGACCTGTTTTGCTACGTGTGAAGGATTCACCTTTTTTGTTAAGGTTGGGAATGTATAAATCATTTGTGAATAGTGTAAAGATTATCTGATTTTTAGAAACACAGTTTCTAAACTAGGAACTAGGAAACACTGGTTGAAAAGCAGGTACATTTGGATTTTCAGTCACATTTACAGACTGCACTGCAACGAATAGGAAAAAGGAAAAAAAGATAAATTGAAAAATAAATAGAAGTATGTGTGACAAAAATATCAAGGGAAACTGATTGCATGAGGGTATGAGGCTGTGGTTAGAGTGAACTCAGGAATTCTTCTTCTTCATGTCTTTCCAAAGTCTAACATGATTGTGCCAGTCTTTGGCCCGTAGGGGGCAGCCTCGGATTAAGTCAGCTTTATCTGCCATGCAGTTCTAAAGGATTCAATCACTGGATGAGAGTAAGCTAAAGCCAATAAGGACCACACGCAGCGGGTTTGAACCATTCCTGTGTTCCGACCAAATGTGAATGAACTCTTGCCTGCACCATGGTGTGCAAACTGTGCCGAACTTTGCGGAACTGATTTTGATTTCGAAGGTGCTCATGTTGCTCGTGTCTGATCAGGTTTTGCTCTAATCTGCCTTTAGCATGCTGTCAGGCCTTGAACCTGTTTGGTGCTGCACTGTATGCCAAAAATGTGCCAGTTAAGTTAATGAGTTAATGATAGCTAAAGGCTACTTAAAGTACAATCTTTGAACGGGTGGGGGGTAGATGTCTCTCTCTTGTTGGTTTGGCAGCTTTGTTTTAAATCCAGATGCTCCCCTGTTGATCAGATTTTTAGAAATTCATTTTAAAAGTGATCCCCCCCCTTTAATAGTGTGATACTACAATTGTATTTCTTAGGAAATAAGGTAAAGTAAATTAAATGCATCATTAGTGCTGCAGAGTGTGGTGAGATTTGTGAGGGTTTAATTAGAAAAGCAATTATAAACTTTCCTGTTTTTAAAGTGAAAATTTGTTGTTTTTTTTAAGAAGAAACACAAATAAGTAAGGAGCTTATGTCAATGCTGTTCAGTTTTTGGTTGCCTTTTACATGTTGAAAGAATGTCAAAGAAGCCCAAAGTCAGAGCAGCTGTGTTTGTTACTTAAAAAAAATCGGTTTAACGATATCTTCTAAAAGCGTTGTAGAGATTTGAAAATTACGTTTTCATGATAAAGTTGTTTTTTTGTGGCTTTTCCTCTATACCGCAGAGATAAGCTAACTGCCCTGTCCTAACAAAACTTGAAAATGTGTGTGCGTGTGTATATTTGACAGCTTTGCAAAAGCTTGTCACGGTGTGTTCCTGTTGGTGTGAGTGTGTGTGCATGTGTGTTTTTAACATGTAGATTTGGGAATGCGAATTTAGAATTTGTAGAGTTTTTTTTAATGAGCATTATTATTTTTGGTATTTGTACATAAATTGTTTTGTATTTATACCTATTTTTTCAGATTTAATTTTTGACTGTTCATGTATTGATTGCAGCACTTAATATTTTGTGGTCTGTTGGTTGGGAAGTTATTCAATAAATACTGAAGCCATTGTTTACATTGGGAATACATACAATAAAATCCATCACTCTTGTCAACATGCTGTATGGAGTCGACTCACAATATCTTATTTTAAAGATTTGTTAATGCCACATCTGACAATAAAGATTGATTATCACATCTGGCTTTTACAACTGCTTCACGAAAAAGAGAGTGAATGTTTAAGGCCTTAGTGGAAAAATTAATTGCAAGAGTACATGGTATATCGCTGACTTAAAGCTGATTATATACAAAAGTCTTTAGCAATCCCTATTTTAATTGCTCGTATAATTCTGTCAAACAATAAATTCAATATTTGATATTAGCATCTTAACCTCTACTTTTCTAATTGGTTGTGTTGACAGTAGATCTGTTATCTATCAAGATGATGCAGTGGCTGTGAGAGAGGTACGGTACAAAGACCTGATAGGGAAATTAGTAAAAAAGAAAGATCCCTGGAGGTAAATTATGAAGGCATGGGGTGTATCTCAATACTTGCACAGGACAATACACTGCATATTTACATTTTCACGTTCGTTTGCAAAGTCAATAATCATAAAGCACGTCGAGTTTTCAGACAGTCCTGTTGAACATTCTGAAAGCTCAATAAGACTTCACTTCCTTAAGTAATCCTAAGTACAAAAGGGGTTTGTAGTGCTTACAGGAAAGATGACCTCTGTGTCTGCATGCACACTGTCAACGTCCCAGTTCTCCGGGGTCTGAGGGTTTCAGCTGAAATCGGTGAAGTGTCTGTGAACAGATGCTGCACTAAGTGCCTCCTGTGTTTTAACAACACCATTAAATGAAATGTTGAAATGTTAGTCACTGCACATACACACACGTTGTGCGTGACCGTGGTTTACATGCCATTTAATGAGCTGCCCAGCTCACTTCTGTTGTACAACACCTTGTCACAAACTACAGCATTAAGGAACAGATTGTTAGCTCAGGGCATAATTTGCCTAAAAGATAGAGGTCTCTTTGTGTTCCACTATCACATAAATGAGGTGTTGGTTTCACCCAAACATTGCGTGTCACCCGGCAGGATTGGATTAATGATCTATGGGTGTAATTTGGTGACTGTGGATTGTGTAAAGGCCTTGCACCGACTCTCACAACTGACTTTTGTCTGTGATTACAAATGTTTGAATGGACATCCACCCACATCTGTCTGTGTTGCTGGATCCTGTCCCAGCTTCCAGAGTTTAGCCTGGACAGATTTCCACCTCCTTTGCACTGGCAGATTTTTCTAATTTTCTGTCAAAGTGGATTATCAGTTAAACAGAAACTCTGTGGTGGTAAGTTAAAATTCTAAGAAAGAAATGAATAATTTGCTAATGAAATGTGCATGAATCACACAAGTCCGAAAACCTGTTCCACCTTTGTATCATGTTGTAGCAACAACAACTGTATGCTGGGGTTTCTTGGCATTTGAGGGTGGGGTGGATGGGCAGGTACAGAATGGTGCCGGCTGAGAAACTGAGTCACAGACGGTGACAGTCTGTGAATGGACTACAGCCATTCAGCTCTCTGGATCACAGTAGCTCACATCGAGCTCCTAGATATTGGAGAACCTTTAAGTTTCAGCAGAAGAGGTTCTGAAGCACCTTATTCTCGATATTGAGGCCATGCTCAATTCACACAACAGCTTATTTCAGTGGATAACCGGGTTATGGCCTCTCAACAATGAATTCAGCCCCCTCTTTCTTTTTGCACTCTCCCTGTTTTTTGGGTTTTCTCTGTCGACCAAAAGAGGGAGTATTTTACGGTAAGCCTGGGCCTCCTGCTTTGACATGGGTAGTAAATTGATAGCAGGAGAAGTAGCGCTGAGTCAACAAGCAGAGCAATGCAGGAGAGGGAGATTATTTGTGTGTGTGTGTGTGTGTGTGTGTGTGCGTGTGTGTGTCTGCAAACAGCAGACTTCTCTGGTCTGCTGGTTGCTGGAAATCCTGGAAGCTGTAATCTTTACTGGAAGATGGCGATGTGACCTCTGCTGTGTGTGTCACAGTGAAAGAGAGAAGCTGGATTTGCTATCCCTCACTTCCCTACAGGCTAAATCTTCACTACTCACAGGCGTCGAAGAAAAATTGCACTTTGCAAATTTAGGATTAATCTTCACCATAAAAAAAAAGGATAAATTAAGATTCCGTAAGAGGTGACATGGAAGTTTGTTGATACAAGAAAAGACAATGTAGGTTTGACATGTGGCATTGGGAAAGGAAAAGGGCGGAGTCAAGAAGGGAAAACATTAAATGAGTCAGTACAGTTGGTGTGCACAGGCAAGACCGTCTATTTTTTAGTCTCATTTCCTCTTAGTCCACCTTTGTCTCCTCAAGGCGTAATGCATTTCCCCCACCCCACCCTGTCCATCACTGGAAAATTGAAAGCAAGTCTCCTATTTCAATTCTCTGTTCCCTCTCCCCCCCCCCCTCCTCATCCTTGGATTTGTATATGTTTCCTCACTGTCTGAGCAGACCGGTTTGCTGAATTTCACAATGGGAGCCGGGGCTCAAAGGCTGGCGGACACACAAAGGCTCCGCTTCTTTACTAGGGGCCACAAAGAAACTGAAGGAGGGTATTGTCGGGGCAAAGCAAGCCCCTGCATAGCATCAGCCCAGACATGCCTGCAGAAAAATGTGTGCATCCGAAATGAGCATGCATATGTTGCACAAAAGAAAGTGCGTCCGGGCAAGTAGTTTGTATCTATTTGACAGTTTCTCTTTCTATCACCCAGCGTTCCTTGCATACATTTAAGAATGCAACAGACAAACTGAGTTATCAGTAAACCGGGTCAACAACCCTGTTTGTATGGTTCTGTTTGTCACATGTCTTTACTTCCTTACAAGTGGACGTTTTTCCCATAATGATTCATTGGTTGTAAGAGGAGCTATGCAGCGTTTCTTATGGACACCTTTGGCTCATTTTGAAATGTGCAGTGCTTGGACTTGCGAAAACATACAAGAAATGTTTGTTTGGAGTCCCAGGGAATTTTTCACTTTGTGTTTCCAGAGAAACGTGTTTGAAAACCGCCTCAGTAAACTTGCAGTAGGCTACCAGAGTTGTGTACATTGGCCCGCGCAACACGGCTACGACATTTTGGTGTCTGCCTGTTTGTTTAAAGAGGATACTTGCAACACAAAATTTGTTTGTGCGTCTTTGTGGCAGTAAACACAGCTCCACTGTGGATGAACACAGTTAAGACACAACATCCATTCTGCGAGACTCAGTGAGCTGCAGTTTGAGGAGAAAAAGTGAACGCATGAAATGTCTTTCGCTACAAAGCGGGTCTATTTTGCTGCACATGAATACGATCAAGATACCCTCAAGTTGCCATCACAACTGCCACCCTTTTGATAGTGCAGCAGACAGTGTCAGCAAATATGTGGTTTTGCGGTAAAGTGAGCCAATGTATGTTATGTTGCTTCCTAAAATCTCCATTCTGTGCTGCAGAGTGTGTTATATCACCTCCCACCCCGAGGCAAGGTTCAGTGATACACCTCTTTTCTTTGAGCTGACAGGCTTGACAATGCCAGGCATGCAGGACTCTGGCTGTATATAACTCTGATGCAGTCTTTCACTTTGTTAGCTGATTTTAGGAAATGTCAGAGTTGGTGGGGGAGCTTTCAGCAATCCTCCCTCAGCAAAAAAAAAAAGTCTCTTGATGAGATGAAAAGGAAAAATTAGACGCTTTGGAACTCCAGCCAAAGTTGTTCAAGGTGAAGCAACCCTTTGAGGCATAACATGCCCAAACTGTGCAGAAATATGAGCGTGCTTTATTTGTGCAGACAACAGTGTGTTCTGCATTTTAAAAGCTGCTATGAGCACAAGCTCAGAGCTGAATGCCTCATTGCAGCGTTTCCCCTCGTCTCTTCCTTCATCCATTGAAATTCCTCTCCTCCAGTTCAGGCCATGAATGAGGCATTCTCCATATCCATGGTGACCGCACCGAAGACTGCGAGGAGTTTGCATAGAAATGAGAGGTAATAAAGAAAGATTCGCACAAAGACCCGCACACACTTTACACTCTATATAATGTGCCAAAATGCACAAACATTCCCACGTGACAGTAGGGAGTTTGATCCCTCCCTCACTGGACTCACAAAAGCGCGCTGTTGCAACTTCACGCGCGCGCATTCGCTGAGAGTCCACAGTCTGCCCAACCTCACTTCTGGTTTCAGTTAACTTTTCCTCCAAGAAGACGTTGTTTTTAAGAACTCACTCTCTTTTTTTGCTGGACGTTTTTTTTTTCCACGCACGGGAAGGAGATCTACATATACTGCGTCTTCCTCAAATGGGAATCATTTGCGCGTTTGGAACTTTGGCTCACTTTTCTGTTTAGTGAAAAGTCGGACCCGTTTTTCACTGGAAACATGCCGGAGCGAATAAGCATTTCGGACTTCGTGGTGCTGACAAACGAGGATTTGTCTTCGCCTGCGACTTCCAGCTTTCAGTCCAAAATGAGCGATTGTCGAAGCACGGTGTCAGCGGTGGAGGAGGTGAGAGGTGGCGCGGGGAGGCGGTTCTGAGCAGGACGCGCACCTTTTGTCTGTCCCTGTTTACCTGTCCACACAGGTAAACAGAGACAGACAGAATACGGGCTCTGCGGAGGGTTTGATTTATTTATTTGCATATCTTTTTTGCACCAATGCTGAGGTTTCTTATACATTTGATATTATTCTGTTATTTTGGAGCAAACCTGAATTTTTTTTTTCACTGTCACAAGTGAAACACCTAAAAAGGATTCTCATCAACAACTCTTTTATATCCTTATATAACCATGGTAATACCTTAGTGTTTAGGTATGATCATATAATGAAAAACCTGTAATTTGTGGATTTTATGGCCTCTCAGAGTCTGTGACGTTACAAAGTATGCCCATAAAATTCTGGCTGAGCAGTCTTGTTCCAGTTCTAACAGATCTACCGAATAAAACTTTGTGACAAAAAAAAGTATAACATTTGCTAGACTGCCTATAAGCCCTGAAGCCAAGAGTTCTCAAAATGTGCAGGATTTCCGAACCCTTTTTGAAAACACGTTTCCTCAATAAATATTAGACAAAGTGTCATAAAACATTAACTTCCATTGATAGCAATGGAAGTTAATGTTTGGATCACAGTAGCACCTGTAATTTTGTTCCCAAAGCAATGCAACAGAGCAAAGAGATCCTGCCAAAAAAAGCTGTGTGTTCAGCATGAAAAGCCCGTGATGGGCTGATTTTTTTCCCCAAAGCCTGTCCAGGCATGTGATTAAAATGATGGTTATTGCTCCTCAGATTTAGACTTTTTCTCCCTCTTGATCAGGCATGTGCATGACTTGATATCTCTCGCATAGGTTTTTCTGTATTGGATAGTTGTATTAAGCAGAGAAAGTAAAGGTTACTGAAGGTAATGTGGCAAATGAGCAGTTTACTTGGTGTTGTCCTCAGTCCCATGGGAGTCAGCCTAACGGGGAACACAAACAAAAAACACATGTCACAGCATACGAGCCAGAAAGCATGACCTTTTGACAGAATGAAGTGGTGCGCTTGTGATCATAAGCACGCACATGCATGTTTATCAATGTTTGCAAGCTTGTATGTGAAGGCCACTTGGTGTTTTTTTTCTGTTTGAACTGGTGCTTTGGCTCAAGGCTTATTTGAGCTGTGTGTGCGTTTGTGTTTGTTTGAAATCTTTCCTTCCAAAAATCCTCATGCAGAAGGGAATAAACAAAGGGAGGTGGCTATGAACTCTGCCATGAAATAAATAATCCATGTCACGCACGAGTTCATCGTTCCTCGTCTGCCTCCCTTGTGACAAAACGTTATAGATACATTTTTTCTTCTGTAGCTTACAATGGATTTATGTCTTTGGTTGGCGTTGCGTCAGTTTGAATCTCACTCAAATTGAAAATGATTTTGCTGGAATCAGGTTGACCATTTTCTCAAGCCATTGTTGTTTTACAGCAACAGGTCAAAAGAACATCAGACATCTTAGACGTGATATGCTGGTACTGTCCCTCATCCGGTCTCAAGGACTGGTTGAGATAAAAGACATCCAGCTAAACTGGGATGGTGACAGGAAACTCTTGGCTCTATAAAGACAATTTTTTTGGGGCAGCTGTCTGATGCATTTATCTCTGGCCTCTTTTATGGACGGGACACACTGGAAAATGCATAGCAGAGATATCTATCAGGGGAGTGTCATAATGGAAGCCTACACATGTGCATACCGACAAACAGATGTAAGGGCAGCAAAGGCTTTATTGATAGAAATGGTTATTATGTTTAGTCTGCCAAGCCAGCACTTGCTTGATTAATGGGTAGTGCAATGTGTGGGCATGTGAGTGGTTTAGGGCAGCAAATAAGGAGGCAGAGACACCATTTAACTCAAACGTACTCCCAGCTGCTTGTTGTTGTTTTGTTTCTCTTACTGATTAGAGACACCGCTAAAGGAAGACATAAAGTAATTAGAAATTATTTTTCATCCTCCATAGATATGAAGGGGTTTACTAACGATTTCAACACATTGACATGAAATGCTGCATGATTCCTGATTTATAATCAACCCCCGTGGTGCCACGTTTACCCGTAGATGTCGATTTGTATATGGAAGTCATAAAATGCGACAGTATGCTATAACAGCATTAGTTACAGCAGGTATACTCAGCCCAGCATGCGGGCAGAGTTAGGCGGTGAAAAAGACGTCCCAGCTTAAGCCCACTTATGGATGGAACATCTACACTCTACCCCGGATTGTTCTTTGACAGCTGGCTTTGACAAATGGACAGCAACAAGCAGAGAAACCATTGCCGCGGCGTCCTTTGGCGACACCGGTGTCCAATAAATAACTTTCCATTCACTTACTTTCGCGTCCCAGAGCTGAGAATTCCTCCTGCCTGTAGGTACGTCTCTGGGAGGGGACCTGACTGGGAAGGACTTGGGAGTGGAAACATGTGACAAAGCATGGGCTCTGTTAAGTCAAATTACGGGCTTGTTAAAGTTATTTCTGCTGCCATGTAGGTGAAAAGGCTTGAGTGTACCTCCCTGCAACAAGTGGGCCTTGTGAGAAAACAAGCAGGATGTAGGTTCAGACCTAATTGCTTTGAAAAAGTTTACAGTCGTTTACAGTTTGACTGGCTGCACTTCATCCCTCCGTTGTATTTCCTTTCATATCATTACACCCTGTAAAAGTGTTCTCTCAACCTGAAGTGTTACCGGTGACAATGATCTGACATCATTTAGGGTTTTACATTACAGTGCAAGACAGACAGTCGTTCTCAGAAAAAAAAAACCTGTTTGTCTTAGTCATGGGGCCGGAGCAGACAAAGCAAATACTTTCTCTCGATTGTGTCTCATGTATTGCAGAATTCTGCCCATTATTTTGCAGACGTGCGCAGTCGTCAATCAGGTATTTCTTTAAATTTCTCTGTGTCATTGCAGTGTCTAGAGATGGATAACACAACTCTTCAGAGGATGAAGAAGATGATCAAATCCATACACACTTCTGGACTCTGTAAGTGTTAATATTTCCCCTTTATTTTTTAGATGAATTCCCTGGATACATTTCAATATTGTGGAAACCAACCTCAGGAAGTTCCTGGAATTAGGACCGCTTTCCCAAACCGTAGTTTAGAAATTTAGCCTTTTATTAATGCATTACTTCAGGATACCAGAGCCTCTACAGTAGAAGAAGAGTGCATGCTTGTTAGCTTGTTTTTAGATAAAGGTCAACTTTTATTATGGCAGGATATGCTGTTCAGAGCACGAGGGAGCCTCAACATAATTCATTGTACGAGCCTCATCCAGATGACATCATCAAGCTTGACTGAGCGGTGGTTTATTAAAGAGGCCCCTTGTTATGGGACAACGATGTGTGGGACGATGAGGCATTGTGTTTATGTAAAACATGGAGGAGTGTGGTTTTTGTGATGACTGCATTAAGGTAAATGGCATGTGAGGTTTCGGCAACAAGAGTGTGCTCAGTTGGGTGACCCAGCAAGGTCAGATTTCTCCGGGTTTGCGTGCGTCACGCAGATCTATGTGACCCCCTCTTGCCACAAATCTGTCGGAAGTGAGCATTTGCCTAAAAAATGTGCAGTAGAACTAAATGGCATATCCTGAAGTTGTTTTTCTGAGCTAGATTAGAATCCTGTTTCCCATTTTGAGGATTCAACTCATAGTTTTTAGTAAAAAGTGAGTCAGTGAGCCAGCTGCACAGAATTAGGCAACCAGATACAGTCATGCCGAGCAACAGTGTCTGCAGAGAAGTGCTCCATCATTACTCCCATTCTGCTCTCCACCTTTTTACTTCCAGTGGATGTAAGTAGAATCATATGGGTAAGCTCCATTAATGTGGCAATGGGAGGCCCATTCCTCACTCTCTCATTATGTTGCAGGACCCCTTAATCAATCCCAATGTTAATTCTAGATGGTCATTCAGAGTTATGACGTAAATGGGCAGAGTGGCATTGGCAGGCATCCCCCCATGCTGGTCTAATGTTCTGATTACTGTGACCTATATTCAGCCACTCAAACACACACCCACACACACAACCACGCACACACACTCCCACAGTGGGATATTCTCCGCTTTCATTTTCTCTTCCCATAAATGCTAAGTACAAGTTTTCTGCCAAGATGCTGTGGCTTGCAAGTCTGTGTGTGTTCTGGCAGAACAGTCGCAGAGTACAGTTTCTCTGATGGCATCTGGCAGCTAAAGGTCAACTGTAAAACCATCCTCAGGCTCATTGGTGACTCGGTTGTTGGTTGTTAGAGAGTCTCATGCATCAAGTTTGTTCAGATCCTTTTTACTTAAAATCCCAGCTTTTCACTTAGAAAATGCTGTATCTGTCTTTCATCCATTTTCAGGTCATAATTTTCATAATGTCTTGAAGTGGAAACTGGAGCATCAGTTTATTTTAGTCTGACCTGCTTGTCCATATTTTCCAGTATCACTACAGTGATAACACAGAAAATCAGATTTTTTTTCTAGCAAAATATTGTTTAATGTAGTTTTAGCCAAAGCGATGTACATTGTTTTCTCCCATCAACCTATTTCCATATTAACTCAACTGCTAGAAACCCACTGAGGTCATGACCCTCCGTAAAAGGACCTAAAAGCCAAAGGGAACCATGGGTCTCCATGTGCTTGCCTGTCTCCTGTGTCAAGAGGGATGTATACCAGTACTAATCAAACCCACATGCTTGACCTGTTCAAATATTCCCAAGGCTGCAGAGGTCTCCCTTCCTTTTTCAAATGTTCTGATTTTGCTTTTGATTGAAGTCAAAGAACTTGCATCAATACTCGCTGTGTGTTGCTTTTCAGCCCATGTCGAAAACAAGGAGCTGTATACTGAAGTGCTGGAGAACCTGGGGAATAGCCATCTGACTCAGGACAACAATGAAATCTCCACAGGCTTCCTCAACTTGGCTGTTTTCACCAGAGAGGTCACAGCCCTCTTCAAAAATCTGGTGAGGGAGAAAAAAAAGTGCAGATGAAAAAGGGGAAAAGAAAGTAGAAAGATCCTCAAATTGAGCTGTTTTTTCCAGACGACGCAACCACATACATGGGGCAACTGAGAGACTTATGAGATTTATAAAGCAAATGTAAATCGTGGTATAGTCTGTAAATACGCTGACGTGTTGAGGAAAAGGGATTTTTAGCAGCTGCATGTTTTGACCATTGGCTGGGGTAGTGCGGAAACCCCCCATTGATAGTCGCTGTGCCGATGATAATTCATCCCAGGCCTTGATGCGTGAGTCAGCATGCACACACACATTCACCATGTGTCCTGCACACTCCCTCCCAGGTGTCCGTCAGGGGCTTGCAACAAAGAGTTGACCAAATGAAATATGTTCAAAGTATTCTCAAATAAAATGATTTACAGATATATACTGCAAAATCAGATTTGCTGTGTGCATAATAGCTGACATGATGTTACATAATGTGTTGACAGCTGGTGTTTCTGTGTCAAAACTCCATGTTTTATCTTCAGTCTTATTGGTTTTCGGCCCACTGTGTCAATATAGAAAGGTTCACGCTGGAGAGATCGTTGAAGTGGTCTGACGTTATTTATGTTTAGGACAGAGAGCAGCTTGTTTTTAATTCTCCAGAAACCATTAAACTGCTTTAAATCATTTAGTAAATTTAGACAGTGGGCAGTTGGAGACACATGAAAATGATTAATCATGCATGCAGCTGGGCTGCGTGCCAATGTAATCATGCATTTAACTTACATGGGGGAAACTGGTAGGAAAAATGTATCACTGTAGGAACAACCTGTTAGTTGTTTTGTTATTTATCCTTCCAGAATCCATTAATGAGTCAATGTAATCTCTGTTTAAATCTGAAATTGATCTCGGTTCGCTAACTGTGAAGAAACAGTTCATGACATGATTGCATCATGTGGCCACGTGGATGCGAGAATGGTAGTACTACACGATATTGTCCGTTTGCATTTCTTATGAGTCGCCAGTAAAGAATGTCTGCATCACCGTGTTTTGGGGTTGTTCATTCCAGTTCCCAGAAATTCAAACTTACTGTGACATACAGTAAGTGTGTAGACCTGTGAATGTGCCTGTGTGTTTAAATGCTCATTCTTTGGTTGATAGGAACAACATGTGATGCTAAGTGGAGTGTTTTGAATTATTTTCACCCTCTGCTCTTCTTCTACATGTTTTAGGTCCAAAACCTCAACAATATCATGGCATTTCCCCTGGAAAACGTGTTGAAGTCTGAACTCAGAGACGGCAGATTAGTGAGTCTTTATTTCATGTCAGATTTATTCTTCATCAATTAAAAAAACTGCTTGCTGAACTGGTGTTCAACTGATGACCTACTTGATTAGTCTTAAAGGGGAAAATGCATCTTGCAGGGAACTGGAGAGAAATCTCTGAAATACTCGTTTAACTTTATTTCCAACTATAAATGGCCTTGTCTAAGGGCTCCTATAATATAGTCTAAGGGAATTCCAGAAAGAAAACAACAGTACAATGACACAAAGAAGTTAAAAATATGCATAGGACAACAGTCAAGACATGCAGACAATTGAAAAACATCCTTTGCAAGATGCAGAACTGGAAACAGTGAATCACTTCATCTGATTTGTCTTTGTGGTCTGTGGCTGTTTTTGTTTCTTCACTCTGATTATCTTGCTTCCCTTCGAGGGACTTTTCGCATCTGTACCCAGGAGCCGGCCATGTGCATGGATGTTCATGAACAAAGAGATAAAATCAGTCCCACATAAATGAACAAAGTGACTGTGATTACATTGATGCAGCGCTTTGGAACCCTGATGGGCTTTAAAGTCCTCTGCATGTGTACATCTTCTTTATACTATCCAAAAGTATTAAAATGCATCAGTCTAGAGTCTGTTTAAGGGTGGAGTTCTTTGATGATAATGATGAATGTTACGTTATAGACACTTCTAAGCTTCCCAAGATATTTGGTAACGTTAGGTTAATTATGCGGACTAAGTAAGATTGAGTAAGTCCTGTCTGTGTTCCTGTACTGAAGATACTGTCTCACTCTGTATTTAGCCTTTTGATTTACCTTTAGACAAGTGATTACAGGTGAATGCATTTGTAAGCTCCTGTACCTGCTGATTCCACATCTGAATATTTCTTCATTATGACTGTGAGGAAGGTGAAGTCCATCTGCACACCTGTTAAGGCAGATACGTCACAACACAGCATGAGTAATTATGTCTGTTTTATCACCCGTCCACAGGAGCTGAAGAAACACATGGAGAAGAGCTGGAAGGATTACGACATAAAATTGTAACTAATTATGTTGCTCGAAATTGTTGAGCTTCTCATTATAAGCATTGTTCTTATTATTTTCTGAAAAAAACAAGTTTGTGACAGATGTACTATTAGGGAGAAAGTTTTTCTCACTTTTTCACTTAGTCACAGAAATCAGTGGACCAGCTAAACCCTCAATACTTCTTCTAATAATTCTTTCCCCATGGCCATTCTCCATTACATTTCTGTGAAATATAGCCCGGGCTCTTGCACTTCACTGCTATAATTTGATACTCAGACAATGGTATAAAGGGTTCTGTAATGCTGTAAAGAGATTACTGCACTCCCTTATTATCTTTGATCCAACCTCTTAGATCTATACGAGGAAGAAACTTTGGTTAATCCAAAGAGGTGTTATGACAAAAAGCTCACCATTTAGAGGGATGGGAAAAATGGGAAAAAAACTGTGACAAACATTGTGCATGGAGAGGAATTTCCATCTGAATATGAATTGCTGTTTATGTGGGGTTTTGACTTTCTCCGTCCACCCATTAGGGGGAAGCTAGAGAAGGAGAGGAAAGAGAAGACAAAGCAGCTGGGTTTGATCAGGTTAGAGGGACCAGATGGAGTGGAGGACATGGAGAGAGAGCGGCGGATCTTCCAGCTGCAGATGTGTGAGGTGGGGGATTAATGCCAGTCATAATACCAAATCCCAGACACTTTTTGCATGCTTGCAGTGGGCTTTATTTAATTCACATGGGTGGTCTCCTTTGTGTACACATCTATCTATGTTTGACTGGATGCCCATAGTCATTCTCTTTAGTGGCTTACCAGAAATTGTTTACACAAGCCATAAATGTAAGTATGAATATGAATTTAATTAATTTTGAAAGCTTTCCAGGACCGCTGAATCATAGCCATGTAAAACATTTTAACTTTAAAGACGAGAAAACTGATTTAAGATTAGTTCCTTTTAAACAAATTGGTGGAAACTGCTGAGAAAATGACCAAAGGTGTTGCATGCAGGTTGTCCATGTATCAGATGAGTATTTTAGTGTGCACATGGCTGCAGAAAACCCTGAGGAGAAAAAACATTCTAGTCCTGACTGAGACCAGCTGTTGACACCAAAAAGGAGAGGCAGAGAAAATGGAATTTCCACTTGTTGCAAGCCATCCCAAACCGTCACTCTGCTGCTCTTTCCTATTCCCCCACATGCACACAGCACACAGAACCTTACAGCAATACGCTCTAAAGAATAACACTTTGCTCAGCTCCTTCAGCTGCAGAGAGACAGATGGATTCAGACATGGCTCAAAGACAATATTGTCACTCCTTCCACACAGAGCTAAAACTGGTGGGTTTTCTTTCCATGTTTGACCAAAGCCTCTTTCTGCCCTCAGCATTTAAAGTTTGCTGAGTGTGGAAATAACATAGAACCTTTATGTTTTTGTGGACCGGTCAGCAGTTCTGGAACTATATGTGTTTATGTTACAGTATCTGTTGAAGATCCAGGAGCTGAAGGTGCGTCAGGGTCCGGATTTGCTCCAGAGCCTTATCAAATATTTCCAGGCCCAGCACAGGTCAGTTTCAATAAACACCAACAGCCACTTTCTGCCATGTGTGAATTATAGGTAAAACTCTCTCTTTCTTGCAGCTAAAGAAGTATGTCAGTTTTATCTCCTCCTCTTTTGTTTACCGTCACAATCTCTCATAGTTGTTGCTAACCCTTTATCCATTAAGTCATATCAACATTGTTTTTTTGTGGGAGCAGAGCTGCTTGTAAAGCTTCACATTTATTTTAGTTGGTAAAGACAGGGACCATACTTCCATCACGACTCAGCATTTGTTCTTTTTTTCTGATCTCAGTTTCTTTCAAGATGGACTGAAAGCAGCGGAAAACCTCACTCCCTTCATTGAGAAGCTTGCCTCTTCTATTCACACGGTAAACGCCAACTGCTAAAGTTTTTCCGTCTACATACACAGGCACCTAGTCACTTTGGGACATTTCCGAGGAATATGAGTCATGATTTAGAAGTCAGAACAGATTTTTCTCTCTAAGTTGTGCTTATTATCTCCAGCTGATGCTATCACAGGATGCCCACACATGCACATACCGCTCATATTTATGTTATCTTACCCTCCATCCACCCAACCCACTCATAAACACATCCACTTTCTCTGCTCCCATTTCCGATGATTGTCCTATTTAGCTTATTCTCAAAATATGAAAAAGTAGTTTTCAAGAAAAAGGAACAACACAGTGGAGCTCTTTAGTGCTATTTAGAATTGTTTTTCTCTTTAAAGTAGAGTCCAAACCCCAAGCTTTCTCCCCAACTTTAATATCCCCAAATTGAACTCACAGACAGTAAGTGACTTTTTAGTTCCCTGGATGCCTTCCCCTGTTTCCATTTTCATTCTTTCCCTAGTGCACACCTTATTCTCCAACCACTAGCCTCCAGTTTGAATAAAATTAGGCTTTGGCTGGAGCCCTGGAGACAGACTGCTAAGTGTGACACAGGGGCCGTTAGAGGTTTTTCTGGTTCTTCATGGGCAGAACCCAAACCCGCACAGACTTGCCAGATTGCAACTTCAAGAAGGAAATTTAGATTTAAGCCTGTGTGCTGATTTCTACAAAAAATATTTACAACAATTTGTGTTAAACTGGCAGATGCTGTGCATAAGAATTCCACTCTGCCTGAAAATAAACGGCCTCTGTTTTATACTAGTCCACACCAAGAGCAACTAAAAGACTTTGAATGTGACTTAATGACCATTGGGGAATCCAACTCTGGTAATGCTTTATTACTGTGGATCTAAACTTCTTTTTGCTGTTTGTTGTAGATGCGTCTGGACCAGGATGAGGAGGTTAAACAGCTCACTCAATTGAGAGACTCTCTCAGATTACTTTTACAAGTTGAAGGCAAAGAAGTATGTGCAATTTTAAAATATCCAAATGATAGTACTTACATGATAGGTTTGTTCTTCTTTGCAGCTTAAACAAAATAAAATAAAGTTAATCTAACTACTCAGCTCAGCCACTCAGCTGTTATACACTTTCAGAATCTGCTGAAGTGCTTTGATGCTTTTGAACTGATGTCTTAACTTTCCCCTAAATTTTATCCCCGTTTGTATCCAAGGAGTACCTGAACCGAAAAAACTCTGGCAATGGCTATAACATCCACCAACCGCAGGGAAACAAAAAATATGGGACAGAAAAATCTGGCTTCCTGCTCAAGAAGAGTGATGGGTGCGTAAAAGAATGTAAAAACAGTTACAGCAGTATTGAATGAGAATTGTATATTTACTGACTCAATTCTTTTATTATGTGTTGTTTGATTTTTTAGGGTAATGGCAAAACACAATGAAGCAGTAAAATGGGATGCTAATATGTGTTTTAACCTGTGTACGAAAAATATGTTTGTCAAAGAAAGTTGGAAACTGACGAAAAGGCTACACATGAATAATTTTATTACAACTGGCTAAAAACGAAGTAAATACAGCATGAAAAGGGAAGGGCGAACTCATTCTTTGTCTGCCCCAGCTGCTCTTCATTATTGCTAGATGAAGATTCAAGCAGGAGCCCCTCCTTTTGGAGCTTTCTGGCAGATGGGTGCACTGAGCAAATCCAACTTTGCGTCATCCACTCACACAAAAACACACACTCAACTAGATTGCTGTGTGATAAGAGTGGGGGATGTGGTCCTGAAGGGCGAATGGGAGAGAGGAGGAGAGTTGACACAACACAGAACACATTGTCAGCCATTTTACCTGATTCAGTCAAGATGATAGATACAACAGTAAAACTCTGGGAGATGCTAAAAAGAGAGAGCATTGTGTTTAGATTATTACTTAATCCAAGGGCACATTTTAGCAACCACTTCACAGTGGTCAGGGAGATAGTGTTCCATAAGTATTACCATGTCTGCATTTTCTCACTAATGAGAGGCTATTTTGTTGACACTGATTCCGCAGACTAAGAAAGGTTTGGCAGAAGAGGAAGTGTGGTGTCAAATTTGGATGTCTGACCATTTCCCACAGTACGGTGAGGACTTCATTACTTTATTTACTTTATTACTTGCTTCCTGGTCTACATTGAGCAAATCATTACATGAAAGTACATTTGTGTCACTGAAATTATCTCCAAATCTTCAAATCTTCCAAAAATTACACATGGTGATGAATTCACATATATTTTCAGATCAATCGGCCACCAGCAAAGTTAAACCTCCTGACCTGTCAGGTGCGACCAAACCCAGAGGACAGGAGAACCTTTGACTTGGTCACTCGTAGGTTGACTTTTATCTTTTCAACTTTAAGTTTTACTTCAGATAAATGACGATTAATGACTCTACATCTACAAAGCAGCTGTATAGAAGCGTACTTCCTCGGTCCCACAATAATAACAACCTGTTATATTTTACTATTGGAATGAATGAACCAAGAATCTTGTACGGTTCAGATGACTTCTGCTTAGGTTAATCAGAAGTTGTTACTGTTGTAGTTTTGTTGCTTTGGCCACCCTGCAATATTTTAAGCTTATGACACTATGGATGCTTTATGCTTTCCCAGATTTAATAATACCTTTCGCCTTACTTACAGACAATCGGACATATCATTTCCAGGCCGAGGACGAACAGGAATGTTTGATGTAAGCAAAGAAACTTCCTCAGGCTGTATATTGACTTCTCAACTCATTGTTTTTACTCTAAAGCAGGGGTCTCAAACTCTGGTCCTCGAGGGCCGCTGTCGTGCAGGTTTTTTGGGGTTTCCCTGTTTCAACACACCTGATTCACATCAAAGAGCCATTAGTAAAGCTCGGCAATGTCCAGAGGAGATCCAATTTAACTAGAATCAGGTGTGCAGAAGCAGGAAAAAATGGAAAACCTGCCCTCAGGGACTGGAGTTTAAGACCCCTGCTGTAAAGCAATTTTGAAAAAATATTTCCCCTTCATATTTAAGCTTCAACCTTTTTGGAAGGGAAAGCCTTGCAATATTTACAAAGACAGTCAAGAGTGTATCCAAAAACAAGAGATGGGAAGTACATGTCGAATGGGACAATTCTGTAATTTGCAGTCTAGTGCAAACAAAGCTTTTAATGTACAGAAAAAGGAGATGAATTAGAGGGTGCAGAAAAAAGATCTGTCCTCCTCGCCTATCATGATCTGGGTGGGACCTTTCTTTTTAGCCACAGATGGCAACTAAAGGGATTTTATGTGTTGCAATGTGGTTTTAAATGGGGCTTCATCTATTCCCTGGCCTCTACAGATGCTCTTTGATGTATTGTGTACTGAAAGTTTAGGGGCAAAGATGATAATGATTTGTAGGAGGAAAAGTACTGAATCTATGACTCAGTATGACTCTTAGCATGAGGGAAGCTGAGAAAGGGAGAGTGACGAATTCTTATAGCTAAATAGCAACACATGTTTGAAAACACTTGCGCTTTTGGAGAAAGAATTTTTTTTGTTTTTGTTTCACTCTTCACGCAAGCTTTTCAAAAATGTGGCAGATGGCTAACTTGTAGAGATTTCTTTTTTTCATTCATGTTTACCTGTACTTTCAGTTGGGTGTCAGTGTTGCAGAATAGTAAGGAGGAGGCTCTAAACACAGCGTTGGGAGGAGATCAACTTCACCTCCAGGATAGCGGGCTGCAGGAACTGTCCCAATCCATTATCGCAGAGCTTCAACAGATGCCGGGCAATGAGGCGTGTGCGGATTGTGGAGCTCCAGGTCAGCTGGTCATTGGTGGTGATCATTTTACAACGCAAGATTAAAAAAAAACTACACCTGTCTCATTTCATATCATTCATAAATGTCAGTAGTTCAAGTTGTGTTTTTATAAAAGTCCATTTAGCTGTTTTTCTCTTGTGGTTATCGCAGACCCAACATGGCTGTCCACCAACTTGGGCATCCTGACTTGTATAGAATGCTCTGGCATCCACAGAGATTTGGGAGTACATTACTCCAGGATTCAGTCACTCACGCTCGACCTGCTGAGCACCTCTGAACTTTTGGTACAAAACAAACACACGGAAACACACCTTTTAGATAAAAAACCTTCACAGTCCATGTGGAATTTCTTTAGTCAGGATTTGTTGATTGTAGACATTACATAACTGCCTGCCTTTCGTTGACATACCTTCATATGCTGCATTGTCTGTTTTTCCAGTTGGCTGTTAGCATTGGCAACAACAGATTCAATGACATCATGGAGGCAGGCCTCCCAAATGACTCAGTCAAACCCCTACCACAAAGTGACATGTGAGTTTCTTATTACCGGTAGTCAATTTGATTGTTTATGTTATATAATGAATTGATGTTTTGGATCTTTGAATGTTTTCTGAACAACCAGGAATGCCAGGAAGGAGTACATAGTGACAAAGTATGCTGAACGCCGCTACGTGCTGCGCAGAGAAGAGTCAAATCCCGGCCGGCTGTATGACGCCGTGAGGAGCCGTGACCTCACTTTGCTCCTACAGCTCTATGCTGAGGGAGCCGACCTGGCTAAGCCACTCACACTCCCTGAGGGACAGGCAAAGGTGATTTACAGCGAAAGGTGGATTTAAAAAACGATATTTCTGCCAGAGAAGTGGCTGAATGTGGTTGAATGGTTGTTCTAAACCCATACTGTCCTGTGGAAAACTTATTCTGCAGCCCTCCCACAGATGTCTTGCATTGAGTGTGAATGACAGCAACATCCTGACAGGGCCGCCCACAGTTAGTTTGAGGCCACACATCCTTTTGTGTGATGTTTCAAAATGTTTGTGAAGTGTTAGTTTTACTCTAAAGCGATCGACTAAATTTAAAAGAAGTGTCAAACTGTTAAAAAACGCCACACCCTGTTGTACGAAGGACTTGTGTGGACAGTTGCAGAATCTAAAGTTTTGTGTACGTGTTCACAGTCCGTGTGGGTTTGCAGTCAGAGGCACTCCCATCTATTTTTCTCTCTAATCTACTTTTTCCCCTCCCCCTTTTCTTTCCTCAGGCTCTCATCTTGTTCGCCCCTCCTCTGCTATCCCTCTCATATGCCTCATCTTCTAATCATACTCTAACCTCCTGTCAGGCACTTCCTCGTCAGCTTTAACCGTGTATCCAGTATGCTTTCCTTCACTTTGTGTGTCTGATTGTTTGTGTTGGGTGGCTTTCGTTTATTATTTCAGCTTTTAGGTCAGAGCTCATGGCTCTAGAGAGCAAATGAGACAGGCTCTTTGAATTACTCCCGTGCCTCTACTCCTCCTTTTACATTGAACATAAACAGTTAATCCTTGAAGCTTTAGGAATGTTTTTTACCTTCCATCACATAGCAAATACTGACACAGTCTGAAAGAGATTCAGAGAGGCGAAACCTTCTGATCCAGATTGAAGCTACATTGAGTCAATGAGAATTGATTAACTGGAGCTCCAATGCATGTTGGGAACTTTTTGAGGATTTTCTTTACATGTTAAAATTTCCCCTCATCAGTCCTGTTTTCTTCCTCTTGAAGGGGATGAAAGAGACTGCTCTCCATCTTGCTGTGCGTCTGGAGGAGAGAAGTTCTCTGGGGCTGGTGGATTTCCTCTGTCAGAACAGGTCAGACAAGTGGAATGATTTATTAGCTCCTAGTTATAAGTGCTGCAAGTTTGCTTGGCCCACTTTAGTAATGTTTAACACCATCTGTCTACGCCATATGGTCACTGTACAGCAACTGTCTAGAGAAGAGGACAGCAGAAGGGAACACAGCTCTGCACTACAGCGTCCTCTATCACAAACCAGAATCTCTCAAGTTGCTGCTCAAAGCAAAGGCGACCCTTCACACCGGTACCTATCACACCATTAATTCAACTTTTGTGTTTGATGACAATGTATGGAAAACATAAATCTTTTTTACTATGCTCTGTAGTGAACTCTGGTGGAGAAACAGCTTTAGATATTGCCAAAAGGCTTCAACATGGACACTGCATCGAGCTGGTAAGACCATGTGTTCCTCTCTACTGTTAATTACATTTAATTACACAAGAACACACACTGTCAGGTTGTGCATCCTCAACTGGGGGAATGAGCTGCAATAATAGCATACCTCACAGAATGCCACTCCAGAGACAAAACCACTCAACTTCCACTGTTGGAAATACTACCTTGAAATAACTCTTTGTCCAGTCCAACCCAGCAAAGGACTCACTCCCATGACAAGACATTCTATCTGTATCAGGCCCCAATGTGTATAATTTATCAGCTAGTTTTATTTTCTTACCGGCCATCTGTTTGGCTAAATCAGATCCGCTTTATGCAATATCCTGTTTTCTTGTGAACTGTATCCAAATATAACAAAATGAAGAAAAACAAGTGCTACAAAATTTATATTTTTTAATGCTAGGTTCAGATGTATTGTGCTTGTATAGTGTCCTAAAAACATATCATGAATAGCTTGTAAAAATCTGTTCTAGTTCTAAGCCAAGAAGCAAAAACCAGAGACAAACTGCAAAGTAGCACAGATGTAGAAATAAATAAATGGAGAAAAAGTGAAGTGCTGCCTGGTTTTATAACTACAAACTAAAGATTCAGATGGCTGATTCCAGTCTTTACAGCTATGTGTGTATTAGTGGAAAAAGATCATGTGCATGCTGAAGAGTGTGCCCATCTGTGTGTATGTTTTAGTTGGAGCTGGCCCAGAGTGGGAAGTTTAACTCTCAGATCCATGTGGAGTTCATGTGGGAGACGCATGCTCAGGAGTTCTATGACAGCGAGGATGACTTGGATGAAAGGGTATGTCACACACAAACCACAATCCAGTCTCTTCATTTCGTATGCATGTTGAAAATGACAATAATTTGAACAAATTAAAATCAATAAAAATGAACTTTTAGGCCATTTTACTGTTGTTTTTGTTTCCAGGTAAGCCCATTACCCAAAAACCGTTCTCCATCATCAAATGGAAGTGGGAGTTCTTTCTCTGCTCGCTGGACTGGGACCACTGGTGCTAGTTCGGGTAGCAGGCCCTGTCAGAATTACGAGAACCTCGACTTTTTGTATGGGAATACTCCAGCTAGTAGTCCCCCTTCTGGACCACCACCACTGCCAGCTAAATCCATCCAAAAAGGTAGGCAGCTGTTTGCAGCATAACTTTTAATGAGCCTCAATGAAAGATCATTTGATTTAGAAAGCAATGCTTAATTCTTTCTCAGATAGCAACTTTGAATGATTTGTTTTAGCTCTGAGTAGCTTTACTTAATTAATCTTTGTCTAACTGCTTTCACATCGCTGCTCTTGGTTTTTGTTTTGGCTCCCACAGGTCGCTCCGACCCCCAGATATCATTCACCGCATCAGAAGGCAACCTCCCCTCACGGCGCTGCTCTAACCCATTCTCTCACTCATCCAGCCCTCAGACACAATCCAAATCCAGTTTATCTTCATTAAACACAGAGAGCCAAGGCCAGAGTGTGAGACCCCCTAGGTCCCCGCACGGACAGGGGTGTCTGCAAAGGCCGCAGAGGCAGACATGGGATGGCCAGCCGAGTACTAGTTCTGGGTCTCAAAGCAGTTTTACGCTAACAACCTCTCAGAATCACATAGGACCTGTCAGGTGAGGAAAAAGCTTAAAGTCTATCCTGCTTCAATCCACAAATTAAGGTTATTGGTAATTACACATGAGCGAATGTGTTCATAAAAAAGCGACCCACAATCAAATCAGTGTAATTTCACCTCTTTTCTGTGTTGCCTTCCAGTTCAGAGAAGACCACGTCTTATCGCCGCACCAGCAGTGGAGGGGGCAGCCAAGCGAAGTGCAGTGCTGTGTCTCCCAGCTGTGTGGGCAGCCAGGAGGAGCTGTATTGCAGTTTAGTGGGGAGCAGTTCCAGCTCGACCCCAGCCCCTGCTCCAGCCCCTTCATCCTCACCTACAGTGACTTGTTTGCCACGACCTCGTAGGAACGCCATGGTATACAACCCCCTTTGTTTTCACGCTCAGCCTGCGGTCTTTAGGCTAAAGCCTTGCGGGGAAAAGGAGCAGTTCTGAGAGATTTTACAATCAATATGTGTTTTCTACAGGCACACTGTGAATTCTGCTTCTTGTCTCCTCCAGGTTTCTGGCAGCAGGCCACAGAAGCGTGTCAAGGCTTTGGTGGACTGCAGAGCAGTCAGCTCCGAGCAGCTTGCCTTTTTCAAAGATGAAGTCATTGTCGTGACGGCCACCAATGACCCCCACTGGTGGGTAAGTGCAACTACAAATTATTTTTTCACCTCCTTGTTCGGTTACTTGTGCTTCAAACTGAATTAATGGACGCTGGCAGTTATTCTGTGGAGGGCTGTAATTAGATTAGATGAGATGGAGTTTACTGAGAACAGTGATCTTGTTGTGGACATTACAAGTTTAGTTCTGCCTTATCATTTTCTAAATGTACACCCCCCACAAACTCACAATTTGTGGATTCACTCATAGTCATTGATCTTCTATTTGTGTTTTGATTCTAAACATTGAATTATACCTCATTCTAACAGGTAGGCCACATAGAGGGGGAGCCTTCCCGGAGTGGGACCTTTCCTGTTAACTATGTACAGAAAGTGACTGAGGGGGGAACACACTTCTGACACTTGGAACTGCATCACCAAATGGAATTCATCAACAGAGGAGGACTGTTGTAACCATGACTATAACTTATGGGTTTGAGTATTTCCAGAGGAGGGTCTACTATCCTTAAAGTAGAGCCTTAAGATGTCACTTACCTTTTTGTTGACTCATCTTGGAAATCAACAGTGAAAATGAAAGCTTTTATCTGTTGATGTACACTTTGGACCATAAGTGGGGTACAAAGGTAAAGCATCGCGGATGTGGTACAATCAGCACTAGTGTCCGTTCAATCACATATTTACCAAGCAGATATTTAAATTCCCTTTAACTTGCAGGGTAAAAAAAAACCTTTTAGGCACTTTAAACTCAGAAGAATCTGAAGAATCAGCCGGGCTGTAAATTTTTACTTGGCCAGCTGCTGAATTGGGATGGAGCTGGTTATTGGTCAGCATGGAAAGTATCTGGTCATTTTAATCGCAGTGTACTGAGACTTATGGGATTCAACCCTGCCAGCCAGTCTGCCTCCAGACAAAATGCCAGGCATCTGTAAAAACTAAGGAGAGATCTGAAACTTTGGCTCAGCCACCTCGAAGCCTGATCATAACTCACGGGCTGCAGAGAGAGTAGCAGATCCAGTTTCTCCTGGCTCCAGGCAAGTCTCTGGAGAACCTGGGAAAACAACAGACTCTATTCTGCCAGGAAAAGGCACTTAAACAACATCCCACCACAGTAATTTGTACAGTGAATGGAGAATCACCATGTTTTGTATGCCTGATATACACAATGTACTTGCATTCAGTTTACATGCAGGGCTGCTTCACAGGCATTTGTTGGAAAAGGTATTTTAGGCAGTGTATGTTTTATTTTATTTTATCATAAACAAATATTCAAATATAACACATTTCACCTTGATTATGCTCAGTTAGTTGTATAGCTGTTTTAATGAGTCTTTTTTTTTCACACCTGATATTCAGTGTAAAGAACAGTGTTACTTTCTGTTAACAATTTCTACATCACATGCTCTTTACTTTGTTGTTGTCTAAATGGCTGTTTAGGACAATACAAAAGGGAACAAACTGAGCTGTGGGTTGTGTTTTTGTGTCAGCTTTTGTGTCAGAGCATCTTCCATCTATCCATGGGCTGGAGCATATCCCAGCTGACATTGCGTGAGAAGCAGGATACGTCCTGGACAGGCCACACTGAGACCAACAACCACACATACATTCACATGGGTGCAATTTAGAGTCTTCAATAAACCTAACAACAGCGAAGACCTGGGTTACATCCTTGTAATCAGGTGATCAGTTTAAACAAACTGATGCCCATACTCGTTTCTGTTTATATTGTCCGGTAACAGTATTGATCATTAAACAAAGAATTCACAAGATAGGTGGGTTAGCGGCAGCAGGTGACTAGATCAGACTGGAAGCATGAGTAGGAACTCTGTAGGCTGTAAATAATTCAGCTCACTTTGGTGACAACCACATTAAAGACTGTTTAAGTAACTGCTAAGATGTAAATGAAAAGAGATATTTGTAGAAATTGCAATATTACCAAATATGTGTAGAAACAAAAAAGATTAAGCCCCATGGTCAAGAGCACATGGGTTGGATTATTAACTAAATGGTTGTATTATAGCCGCTCTTTTTATAATGTCCTCCTTGTATATCAAAGTGATCACAGCCAAGAGTTAAATGGCTTCTGTACATCTGCATTGCAGAGTGTAATGAACACAACATTAGACAAATGCAACCTTTGGACTGTAATCATGTGGATTAAAATGTAATAATTATCACGAAAGATTGTTTTCTTCCAGAAGCATGCACTGATATTCCATTATTTATAATCTATACAGTTCATGTCTGATGCTAGCACATGAAATCTGGTATTTGACCAAAAATACCAAAACAATTCTTTCTTCAATGCTTTAGTAGTTTTTTTTGTAGTCTGAACTGGGGCTTTCAAACAGTCACATTTTAATGAAACTCTATTATATTCAGACATTTATGAAGAAAATAACCCTTTAAACCAAATTAATTCTGCCAAATTAATTCTGATATCCTGAGAGCTGTTTAATTCCTCTAACCTAGATTCTGCCTTAATGCCATCTTTCTTAACACTTTCTGTAGATCCCTGCCCCTTCCAACCTCATTAAGGATCCAACTGGATTCTATTTTACCATGACCCTTCGTCCTAGAGGCACAGTGATGAAATTCTAACTCTTCCCTTGCATAACCACCCACCTCACTGGCAGCCATCAGAACAAAACACGATGTCACATGGGAATGTATCTCCCTATCAAGCTATAATGCTTATATCAATGCATACAACATATGCAAAAGATGGTACCTGTAAAATGTTGCTTATAGGACACACATGTTAACATTGTGCCTCTGTCCGTTTTAGCTTTATGGCTACAAACACAGACTCCATACAGAAATGTTCTACAATTTGGATGTAGACACTGTTGTACTCCATTAATGGCAGAATAAAGCCAGTGGAAATCCCAGTTGTTGTATGATATCTGAATGGGTTAGGAGTCTGGCTCTGGTTTATTAGTATTACTAATACAAGACAGTTGAGTTTATGTGCGCATGCTTCTGTTGTATTGATTAAAGAGATGATGGATGGTTTTTAAAATGCTCTATTTGGCAGAACATTCATTTTTTAATTGTGCAACAGAACAAGTATCAGCTCGACTTCACAAATCTGAGCTTGCAATGGTAAGCATTTGAAAATGGGATACATATCCAGTCATTCTGCCTTGTTCCAGGAATATAGAGTAATCTGACTTATATTTAGCTACCTAATCAGCTGGAAAGAGACTTTAAAGGACAAGCGAAAAACTGTGAACAAAATAGGCATGCTAAATCTAATTTCCTGATGGAGCTTTTTCACAGCTTGCTTCTTTCTGGCTGGCAGCATCTTGTTACGCAAAGAGCTGTGTTGTGCTGATCAAGCCCCACACTGCTGTGAACACTACAACATCACCCAAGCATTACCTCCACCTCAAATTCAACCACCAGAGATGATAAACTGAGCCTTTCATGATAGGTTTTATCAACAATAATCTTAATATTTTTTTTAGGAGATAAAGAAAAATACGTCACAAAATTAAACAGTTGTAATGCATTTATTATGCTTCTGGCTGTTATACAAAAACAAATTAAATGCTAGAATTATATCATGTATCAACAAATCTTACACATTGTAGCTCAAAGTTTAAGTAAATAATGCTGTCAAGAAACTAACAAATTTTAGCATAATAAAAAAAGACATTCACTATTTTGCTTTGCAGTGGAGTCTTTTTAAAAGCAGGACCACTACATCCACAACATCAAGGCTTGATGCTAAAATGTGTACTTATTCATTAAAGATTTATGGATCTGAGATCATTAGTGCCTTCTAAGTGTACATCATTTTTATTCACTTTACTTGAAATATAAGTCAACATTCATACAAAGTGTGAAGAGTAGCTCTCAAAAAGCAAAAGAAACATTGCAAAAAAAAGTGTTAAATACCTGATATAAGTGGAAATGCTCTGTGCTCACAATGTAAAATGTCAAATAAATACACACTTACACACATATATATATATATATATACACGTGTGTGTGTATTTATATAAAATATCACACTACAATAAAAAACAAAAAGAAACATTCACATGACAAACATCAGCAAGTTATTTTTTGGACCTCTGATTGGCCAGTGAATGTGTCAGTAAAGGGCTGTAAGAGGTATAATCATGGAAGTTTACAGTTCCTCATGTATTTATTAATAAAATGTCTAGCTAAGCTAACTTAGCTTGAATGCCATCCCAGAGGTGTGATATAAATACAACAACCTGAACTGCAGATTAAAAGTTCAAAGAACATAGATGTGTTTATACAGTTTAGCAAGAGTTAAAGAAAAACTACAGAGTAACAATCAACATTACATTCATTCTGCAAGTGGGCCCAGAGATTTTTGGGAAGCATATTTTTTCCCCTATCCATATGAAACAGAAAATGTGCGGTCCCAGCGCAATGCACTGGAAACCTAGTTGTTTCAATATTCTGGTCATTAGTTGATCTTGTCCTGGCTTTAATAATCTGTGTCATTACCACTATTACTATAAATGCCATTACACAAAAACTGCAAAAGGCATATTACGACAGCTGTAAATATATGTCTGTAGCTATATATAAAGAAGCATGAACACATGTTTAAGGCCGTCGAGAACTTATTCCTCAAAGCCTTACAGCAACCTTTTGGTGTATTATGGTTTGGTATAGACGTGCACAGAGATTGCAAGAAGTGGTTACCTTGGCCATGTGGAATGCTTATAGAGTTCATTAACATTCAAGGAGAAAATCTTCATGGTTATCTGATCTAAAAGAGACTTAGACTGCAGGAAACTGATCAGGTGAGCCCTTAGTGTCAAAGATAGAAAATAGCCAAATCTAAGTTATCTTTTCATTCTAATTATTGTGCAGCTACCTACTTTTTAAAAATTGTGCTGATATTCTTGATGTCTCTTTTTACATTTATCACACGGTATTTCTCTTCTTACTATGATCCAGGGCCTATGAGATAAGCTGTTGTGTCTCAGAGTATCTCATCTGGCAATTTGACATGAATGAATGAAGTAGAAGCCACTAAAATATCTTGTATATCTTTGGAAGCAATCACAAATTACAACGGTCATACCTTCTACATTATGAGGATTTTATGGATAACTACAATAAGCAAACTAAATAATTATGTGCTTCACTTGTAAGCAGCTCCGCTCTCTTTTTCTTTCCATTCATAACAGAAGGGCAAACAAAGCACCATCAGGAATCGGGCACCATTCCGTCTTTTAAAGAATACCACACTGAAACCACAATGCCCTTCTCCAAATAAATGCACTCAGACTAAACCTGTATCTCTGCAGTAACTTCCAATGTCCCAAAATAGATATCCCTGGTGTATTAACTTGCTTTCTGTGTGCACCAATACAGTTGGTGTAAGGGGGGGGGTTGATGATATACGTAAGAAGATACATGTAAGATATACTTTATCATTGTCAGTGCAAGGAGAGAAGATATGTGAAAGAGGAAATCGAAAAGTAGGGTAAAAAAGGGTGATCTATGTGTGAAAACCAGATCATCTCCTGCATATGGGACAAATATCTAACTGTAAAAGACAGAACGAAATCATAATTTGTGGTAAATGTCACACATGAAAAACAATGAAAGTGCAACAGAGGTATATAATGGACAAACCTTCATAGACCAAAACAAGATTAGAATGACACAGTGTAGGTCAGACTCTTTACACTTAAAACCACCCTTCAAGGTGCAACTATTCATTTCTTTTTGTTTTTACAACACCAATACACTATTAGCCATTAATGATGGTGTAATCTACATTTTTTGCTGAAACATGCATGAATTAATATACAAATAAACCCAAATCTTGAAAAAGGAAATGGACAACTGCAATAAAAAGCTTGAATCTATAACTGGTATGACTAAATTCCTCCTAGGACCTCAGCTGGCAGCTGACCACAGAGCTCAGCTGGTTACATTCAGTACGTTTATGAAAGCGGATTTAAGATAGAGGGTTGAGTGGTTGTCAGGTGACTGGATAAAAAGAGGCCACAGGTGGAACTGTCCCAGCATAATTTCATTCCTACTCTCTTTCATTCCCTTGTAAATACTGCCCTAAACAATTTCTATGCTTTAGACAAAATGGCCAAGGCACATTTAAAAAAAATGACATTTCCTTTCTCTGCATACTTAGCTCTATGTATCGCAGTGACACAATCAACCTTCTAAACTCTGAATGAGCCAAAGCTGCAGACTGCTTAAATCTATTATCTATTTTGTAATTTCATTCATACTATTTCACTGTTTTCTTTTTTGTCTCTCCACAGAGGTTAACATTACATAATCCTTACTGCTGCAAAAATGAGATCCAGAACAGCAATGCTCTCAGTACCTGAACCTCTCCTCCCACATCATATGACTCATCCCTGCACCATGGATTCTAGCTGAATCTCACGCAGCAAGCTTAACAGTATTTGCAAGAAGCAAAATATCTATGAAAACAATGAGGACATAATGACATCCTGTACACATTGCACTAGTGCCAGCTTGATTGGTTTTCTAGCTAGTTTCTTTCCTCAGAAATACATTGAGCAGGAAGCTCCTCACGAGCAACTGTGATATTTTTCTAGGCACTCTGAAGTCCTTGAGGACCAGCCTCAGGATACAAGAGCAGAAAGGTTGAGGATGGAGAGCAGCCTTGTCAATGAGTGGTAGCTGAAGAATGGAGTCCTACCCTCGCAGTTATGTAAAGCCCATTTCTAAACTGATGGATGGATTCTGTTTTCTTATTTGAGCTTCACGGGCCAGGGGAGGCACGTACGAAGTCCGAGCATGGAGGAGAAGACGATGGTGGGTCGGTGCTTCTTGAACCTCAGGCCTTTCTTCAAGCGTTGGCTGGTCTCTGCCACGTACAGCTCCCCCTGCTGGGCCGCACCGGTAATGCGCGAAACCAGCTCCCCATGAACCACCACCTGCTGCTCTGACTGCACAAATACCTCCCTGAGCTCCTCCAGTCTGCGCTCCATCTCTCTGATGACACGCTGACGCTCCTCCACCTCCAGCAGGCGCCGCCGGGCTGCCTCAAACTCCATGCTGGAGCTGGGGGTGACGAGTTTGGAGGACGGGGCAGTGGCAGAGGTGGAAGGAGGCTCGGAACCAGCCAGTAGAGCCCCTGTTACCCTCCGAAAGTCCCCCATGGAAATGGAACGCCTGGTGGCCGGAGAGGCCAGGGCCAGGAGGGCTGAGGCAGACTCAGAAGATGGCATGGCTGAGGGAGGAAGAGTGGAGGAAGAAGATGGGTCCGGTGGGTAGAAATCAGGATGAGAGTCGGTGCCTTTAATAGCTGCTGCCATGTCCTCAGCTGAGCCTGCATCATGCATCACAGTGTTCCGTTGCCGTCCCTTCATAGCCAGCGTTTTTCTCTTTGCCGTCTGCTGCTGTCCCCTCCTTCTGCTGCTAATGTTTTTGTTTGTATTCCAGTGTCCCAGTTTCAGATGAGACAGCAGCCGAGCAGAGGCGGGAGAGAGGTGCTGTGATGCAGCCTGGAAGCCGTTCCATTCATTAATGATGCTCGGAGGCAGGGTTGTGCATCGTCTGCGTCCGAGCGGCTGTGCTGGGGAGGGAAACCTGCTGGCATTTCATTGGCTGCTGATCTCACGAGCATGTCAGATGCTGATTGGGCAGCTTTTTCTCCGTGCTGCTGATGTTGGCAGGCTACCGTGTCCTCCTCTCCGCTGTTCTGCTTCGTCGACCTCATCTGCAGCTCTGCTTTGATCAGCTCCGCTCAGTCAAGAGCTGCAGAGGCATCAGGCTGACGTCCCTGTGATGCTGTTTCCCCTTCCTCCTTGACTCAGATGCTGGTCTCCATTTTTTTCTTTCTCGGACGGTTGCCCCTAGCAACACCATCATGACATCAAATGGCATTGGAAAAAGGGAAGGATGACGTTCCATTTTATATCTCTATTAACATTCCCTCTGTCATTTGACAGAGGACAGATTTTAACGATACACATGGCACTACTAAATTCTAAACATAGACGGCATTCATGTGTTCATCTATTTTTGTCCACCAAATGGTTTCTGGACAGCAAATGCTTTCTTATAGTTTTATGTATAGATAAATGCACCCAACATACAAATATTGTCTTTATTTACATGAATTTTAAATAATTCAATAAACAAAAAGTAAAAGCAATTTACAATTCAATTTTGTTAAACAGATTACAAAATGTTACTATCAAACAAGAAATATTTCCAGAGGTTATCAAACCATTGCCCAGATTTTGAAATCCCACTTTAAACAGTGTCTATATCATTGAGAATATCAGCGTCCAAAAATTAAGCTTCACAAGACTTTTCTTATTAATCAATAATCTTATGTATAATCAGGACTAGGTAATATTCCAGTGCATAAGCATAGAGGGAAGCTCAATGATTTTGAGCAGTTTCTATAAAACACTTTATGATGCATTTTATTCATGAGTATTTGCGTGTTCATTTACAGATCTGCCTATGCTTGAACAAATTACTTTATGTAACAGATAACCACATTTGGATGATCAAAGCATCAACAAAGTATCTTTGCACAAAAGTCGGTTTCCTTTTTAAGCATAGCGATCGGATTCAAATGGTTACATCATCTTCATAGAAACTAATTTCTTCTTTCTGTAACAGCCAGTTCTTCTCTTTCCTGCAATGAATTGTCTGATTACTTGAATATGAAGTAAACTGCAGTATCAGTTCACTCAAATGCCGCCAATAGATACATAAACAAAAATTCTGGAAGGGCCTGCTGTCACGAAGATATATGATGTGATGTTTGAAACAACTGTTCCTTTACAGAGAGGCAAAAACCAGACTAAGCTTTTAGCAGGTCAGAGGTGGGTGTGTACGGGTGTGTGTCTGCATCTGTGTGCTTGCATATTTGAGTGCTCACTCAGCTCTTTGCTTTTATCTCAGGACTGGTATTGCATTAGCAATGACTGTCCTGATCCTGCTTTTAGCTTTGTTGATCTGCAGAGTGAAGAGGGAGTGGTGCAGAAATCTGCAAAAAAAAAAAAAAAAAGCTAATGGACTGTCAAAAGAACAAATAAATAGGCCTGCATTATGCTCAATCAGATTTATTTCTGCTATCCAGGAAGCTAGAAAATGTTCCTCTGAAAGATCAAAATAGTATCTGAATCATCTGAATGATCCCTCTTTAGGATGCACTGGCACGCATGATCTTCTTAGCCGCTGACATTGTCTATCATGATGTCATTGGGCCCAGCTGGGTGACTTTGCAAGAGTGACTGTCCTGCAAAACTTCTACAGCCCCCCCCCCTCTTATCGAGTCTTCAAACCTCTTTCCCGACCCTTCTCCACCAGCTCCCGCTACATTGTGTATTTGATAAATTTGCCTCTTCCATCCGCTCTTCCTATGGCACAGTGAGATTTTGCAGGATCAACCAAGCTGTGAGGAATGGATCCATACTCATTGACCTGTCATAGTCCAACCACGGCATTGGGATTTTCCAATGTGCACGGAACAACAAATGTAGTTGTAAAAAAGAAAGAAAGAAAGAATACAATAATAAGGATGGAATTCTAAAGGTGATGTTGGATGTAAAATTGGCATCTTTATAACGTAATATTCCATGAGTAATGTAATCAAAGTTAAAAAAGAAAGCTGGTAAGTTTGTGACAAACATTTTGGTCATTTTAATGCACTGGAAGACAGTCTTATTAATGATCCATCTGTATGGGCTAAACCTTTTTATTATTATTTACTTTAGAAATCTTTGCAATTTACACATAATAAGTACACACATTCTTGACCAAATAAAGAATTTAGGTCCAAGACATGCATTAATGATGTTGAGTTGATTTTTGTCCTTTCTGAAAGATAATGCCCTTTTTTGGAACGCTCCAATAGTTGTGTAACATTCCACACTTCAAACCCACACACTCTAAAATAATCTCCATGTTGCCTGTGAGCTCAGCATCAGATTGTTGTCGTATTTGTTGCATATATCAAGACCAGCAAGAATCAGCTTGCCTGTAAACTCTAGGATGTTTTAAAGATATTGCAATTTTACATGTCAAACTGTCTATTTTTTCCCCACAGTCACAAGACCACTGCACACACATTATCATGCACACACACAACAAGCTGTGATTGCATTGAATTGTAGAATTAATTATGATCATGTGCCCAAATCCTTACATTCTACAGACCTATCACCAATCCTTTTAGAGCTAAAATTGTGGTGAAAGCCTGTGTTCAGTCTCTCATACTGAACCCTCTATTACAGATTACTATAATCTGTGGGTGCCACGTGTGAGGATGTAATGGTTAAAATGAATTCTGGGAAATCATTTTAGCTGACAAATAAATAAAAACTTAACCTTGGGGAATGTGCTAATGCAATAGATCCATTATAGAACATTAACTTTTCTATGGAAGTCAATGGAAATACAGGATCTTTCATAAACAGCAAGCAACAGCCAACTATAATTCACATCAGGGAGCCTTAAGCAACTAATTGAAACCAAAGCCAATACAACCTTCCTAAAAAGGGAGTCTACAATGTCCTTTTTACAGCATCTTTCAGAAAGATATCCTCTGACTTACACCCACACAATCCCACTGTTATAAAAGCCAATTCAGACTCTACATCTGAGCAGCTCCAGCTGACAGCAGCAGTAAAATGAGGAGACAGGACAGGCTTAAAAACAGCACCAGTCTGTCCTCTTCTGGGTGTGCAGACAAATGGTCATGGTTTTCCACGACCCTTTAATCAATATCAGTCGTCTCTCTCTGCTGCAGAATGATTCAGTCTGAGCATGTGGGTGTGTTGAGGATTCTTCCCATTAATAAGGTTAACACGGTACAATAATCACTGACGTTGTAAATTGCGTTCAAAGGAAAGTGACGGGAATGTATACATGTGAATAAAAACCTTAAAAAAGGATATATGTTTAAATGAACAGTCAGTGCTACCCTCAACTATGTTAACAGATTATATACTATGGGAGCAAATCCCTGACTGGACACTTGTAAAATGTAGGTCCATCTGTAAGAGGACAACTATTTAAGCAATAGTTGTTGAAGGAGCCAGTGTCTCACATGACCTGCATTCTAAAAATCTGGAAGGAGCAAACATTTAAATGAATATAAAACTTGGATATTTCACAAACAGTAAAACATTTCAAAGTGCTGAGACATTTGGTAATAGCTGAGAGTCTGCTGAAGTGGTGAGGTTAAACAGAGAAAAAGGTTTTCTAAGGATTTGAAAGATTCTTAATCATTTTTAAAGGGGGCAAAAAAAGTATTCTAATAAAAACTTAAGTTTTAAAACATCAAAATACATAGCATAAACGTCCTTAACAACCTGAATGGTTTATATATATATATAAATAATGTTAAAGTCAATCAAAGCATTTGGGTCGTGTTTAATACTGAAAACATACGGAATTCTTTGTAAAACACTGCAACTGACAACAAAGAACAATTCAGACAGTTTGTCATAGCAACTCAATTTTTAATAATGTAAGATATAAAAATCTTCATCTTTATCATACAATAACATCTTACCATAACACGATTAATCGAAGTAGGGAGAGTTTTTCCACCAAACAAGAATAATAACTTTGATCCCTTTTGAGGTAAGACATCTGGTTCACAGATTATTCAGCCACAGATCTTTCCTTCTAGAGATGCACAGAATCTTTTGAATTTCATGCATTTCCCATGCAAGACATTCTGCCTCATCAGTAGGCCTAGGCACTGAGCTGAAAGCAGGACCTACCCTGTGAAGCAACTGACATCAAGACGTGTTATCACTTCTTTAGAAGAACTCAAATTCAGTGTCACTTAAGTGTAAACACGTCATGGAATCAGTGGAATTAATGGAACTTAAAACATCAATGGAAGTACAGATACTCCACAATGAGGGCAGGTCTGTATGAGATCATCAACCAGTGATTTGACAAAATTTGTAAGTCAAAATGATCTGCCATTCTTCTATAAAACAGAAAGAGAGACGTGTACAGCATTGATTCCACATCTGTCATCTGTTCAGCATGTCTTTCACAATTTCAAATCACAACTTTTTTTAACAAAAAGAAAAAAGGAAAGGAAACAAATCTACAACAAAAAGCAGTAAACACAGGAAACAGCTGTCAATATGCATGATTCAAGAAACGCGGTGGGGAAAGAAAAGGAGAAAACACAAAAGCAAAGCGGATAGCAAAATTTCAACATGCCACAATGTTCTTTGGGCAGGTCTTCTTTCACAGAAAGCCACCTATTTTACTAATTTTGTAGTAATAAAAATAATAGACATCTCAAATGTTCGCCAGCAGATTGACCAAGCAGAAGAAAAAGGGAGTGCAGCAAAAACAAAGCAGCCACATGACATCATTACATCACCAAACCATGCACATGACTCTGCAGCATCCCACAAGACAGTATAGACACACACTGCTCGTCATGCAACTGAAACACACACGCACACCCATACATGCACTCTCCAAAAACCGAATACAAGTTTAGATCGACAGTATCCAAAACATCAGCGTTTGACATTTCCCAGAATCACCATATTCTGGTTGTACCAAAGCCAAAGAGGCATTTATGGCAGAAGTGTTTTATATTCAGATTAATAATACTCTTTGAAAAACATTTAACAGCAGTTGGACAGTACTGTGGTTTTGTGCTGTGGGTACAGGTTGATTTGGCAGCACAACCAGTAATATAAAGCTCATCATCTCTACAAAAAGAACAGGAAGACAGATGGCAAAACAGGCAGATGGGGACAGGCGTGCAGCAATAATCAAGTACAGCAATGATCAGGGGAGGAAACTTTCTTTGTCACCATCAAAAACATGGCTGTTTTGATTCAGTTACAGGTCTTACACACACCCGCACCCACACACACACACACATCGTACATCCACACACCACTAACGCATCTGTCAAAAACCTGCATCCATAGTTTTTCTTTAACCCTTATTGCTCCCATCCATCTTTATAATGTTTTGCTGCTCCAAGTAGACTGGCTAACAGCAGCAGATGAGCAAGGAGAATAATAGCACGAGCATGATGTTAAAGGATGGTGGCAGGACCACAGTCAGGTGTTCCTTGGCTGGTTTCTACTGGATGGACACAACATCCACAAGCAAGCTGACTTGGTGGTTTGGAGCCAGGAGATGTGGTTCGATCAGACTTCAGTGATCTGATTGGCTGCTTTGAGTCTCTAAAGGGAGGTGGAGGGCAGTTTCTTCACACGCCTTTGAGCTAAGAACGAACTTTCAATGGGCTTGAGCTCTGGAGTAGGTTGTGAACTCTTCAGGGCAGAGTACGTGGCCGCCATTGCACCCTGCATGTAGAGAACAGGGTGATTACTGTGGTTCAAATATAGAAAAAGGTAGGAAAGACATTTTGAAGGGACAGGACTATATTATTATTACTACTACTAATATATTCTTTCACAAGTAGTTTATTTATACAGGGTCTTATTGTTTAGATAACTGGATACAATCATCAGGTAAAGGTGACCCAAAGGGGAACTCGATCACTTTTATCCAACACTTCAAAAATCAGAGTACCTTGACCAGTTTGGGATCCTGGTGTGGGAGCTGGCTGTTGGGTAGTTTGTCCCTCTGGATAATCCAGGGGTGTTTGAGGACCTGCTTAGCAGTCAGTCTCTGATGGGGGTCTACATGAAGCATCTTTGACACAAGATCCTAAAAGTGAAAAAGCATTAAAGTGATCACTTAAGAGAAAGAGACCAAAACCATCTTTAAGGGATTGAAGCTAATAACTCGACTCCACCTTTGCAGCATCAGAAACAGTGTCCCAGTTGCCTCCAGCTAGGCTGAAGTGACCGCTTCCTATCCTGCTTAGGATCTCATTTGGAGTGTCCTCAGGTCCGTTTGCAAAGGGAGTAAATCTGGTTGGACAAAAGCAGACAAAAGAGGGATTACAGAGAGCAACTAGAAAGAGTAATTATGTGCATCAGATATTTTGAGTGCTGCTATTCACCCAGCCAACATGGTGTACAGCAAGACTCCCAGACTCCAGATGTCACATCCTTCATCATAGCCTTGACGCTTCAGCACCTGGAAGTCACATATAATTACATATCATTTCATTTCCAAGAATACAATGTTTCAATTCAACAACGGCTGGGGTTTTTAATGAGAAATTATTTACCCTCACAAATATACCACTGACTACATGTGACCAGCTCACCTCAGGAGCTACGAAGTTAGCAGTATAGCACGGGGTCATCAGCAGACCATTGTTGGCACGCAGCTGTTTTGCAAATCCAAAGTCACAGATCCGGATGGACTCGGGATTCCCCGACTCGTCAACATAGAGAATGTTGCTGGGCTTCAGGTCTCGGTGCACAACCTGGACAGGAGGATAAAGGAGAGGAAATAAAACACAGACAAAGCAAGAGTAGAGTGACTGAAGAGGACATTAGAATAGGAAAAAAAAAAAGAGTTGTACTGAATACGAGTGTTTCAGGTCATTTAAAAAAAAAAATAACGCATCCAGATTTCATGACTTGATGCACCAAAAAGCTGTGACTTCTGTATTACAATATGTAACATTTGGAATAACAATGATCAACAAGAATCATAGTGAGTAAAAAAGACATTCAGAGATGATGGAAAGATGGGACAAATTGAAAAAGGGAGAAAAAAGGGAAAGCATGCAGATGAACTCTAATGGCACTTTGTGTGAATAGTAGCAGATTTTTTATTTAATTTGAGTTTTTTTTCCCTCATTACTGACAATGTCCCTGACAAATCTCATTTCAGAAAATGAAAAATACACAGCCCACTTAAAATGGCTCCCGTCTATTAAATGGAGAAACTGAGCCATTGAATAATTCACGGTGTAATTCTTTTTGACAGAAAGCAATCTACAGCTTACTGAAACTGTTAAATACAGGGAAGAAAAATTGCCTAACCAGAACCATCATTTATTTTTCCAAGGGGAGAATGTACATAGGAAACTACTTTTACATACAAATTGAGCACCAAAATATGATTAGCAGTAAATGAATCATCATCTTTAAAATCATTGAAATCCTAAACTCCGATATAAGCAGTGGAGAGCGGGCCATGTGCCTGCGGGCCCTCACCCCTTGTGAGTGGAGGTACTCCACAGTCTTGGTGATGGTGTGAAGAACAGCGCTAGCCTCTCGCTCTGAAAAGAACTTCTGCTTGAGGATCCGATCCAGCAGCTCTCCTCCACGCATCAGCTCCGTCACCATGAACACCTGCTTACCATTGTCATACACCTGAGACGGAGAGACAGTCCCACCAGCAATGAGGGTTATCCTTGTGCACTCCCACGATTAAACAACAGCCAGATCTGTGTTTTTAGACTTACATCCTTCAGTGTTATGATGTTGGGATGCTGTCCATATCTGAGAAGAATCTCAATCTCCTCAGAGGGGTCAGTGCTTGTCTTGTCAATCATCTGTCAGTCGGGAGAAAAACAGGATTTCCTTATGTTCAACTTCATCCTGAAGTTGTGTTACATGTGCAATATGCGACTACATTTAAAAAAAAAAAAGAAAAATGTCCATATTTCATACCTTGACAGCATATTCAGTGTTGGTGGCTTTGTGGATGCATCGTTTACAGACGGAGAACGAGCCCATGCCGATGTCCTCCTTCAGTACGTAGCCATCGCTGAACAGCAGGTTTTTTCCATGCAATTGCTACAGAGAATTGATGGGAAAGGGAAGAGCGGTGGAGGTGTGACAGACTGTGATGGATCTGACAAGGCTGGGGGACGTTGATGGGTTTCGGGAAGGAGCTCAATCTATTTGCAGAAACGCGTTCTCTGTCTAAACTGTCACTCTCAATCTGCAGCACACAGATCTTTGGTGATTCTGTCAGTCACAGTACACACTGTCAAGCCCTGTAGCTTCAGTCTTTCCTCTCGTTATACCTTCACAAGGTTCCTACACATTTCTACAGACCCTAGGTTTTGGTTTTTCAGATCTCATCTGTCAGTAAATTAGCTTGTGTTCAAGACATACGCATATACACTACACACGTATATCAGTTTTTTTGCAGTGTGATTCAAAATCTCAATTTGATCCTCTGCAAATCATCACATGATAAACTAAACGTGGGGTAAAAAGTCTGCAGGGAACATCAGTCTAGGAAAACTGTAGCGCACCATGGCATTGACAGCTTAAGTGCTAAAATCAGCAGCTAATTAATGTGATTAAATTCTCTAAATTTACTTATTTGTAGCCAAGGAGTATCTGTTGTGCTTAATAGCCTCAAGAACACAGACCAAACTAATAAAAAAATGTTAGGCTTTTGATAGCAATCTATAGAGCAAAACAAATTAAGCATGTGCTGCCTTTAGAGCAAAGGAAAGGATGAGCACATTTTTCCTGTTTTCACTTTCAGTGTGTGAAATATAGAGATTACTCTGATAGAAAAACTCAGTTTAGAATGTTGTTACACAAGTTTAATTTGCAATTCTACACTTATACTATATTAATAAGAGTTAAAGATACTTAATATTTCCAATCTTTTTAGAAAACAGTTCTCAAATGTGATCTATCACCTTGGTACAGTACAGTTGTTTGTTTTTATAGTCCTAATTTTGCATCAATATAAAGATAGCCAGCAGCTTACCTGGACCACTGGGTGTGGCGGGGGCTGGACAGGTAGCATGGATCCTTCCTCCTCCAACATAGTTGATGCAACAAAACTGAATCCTCTGAATAGCTGGTGAGCTCCGGCACTGGGAGGAACACCAGGGGAGTCTGCAAAGCAATAGGAAACCTTAACTATTTAAAATACTTTTAGACATATTCAAGTATTTTAAATATGTGGGGAAAAAAACACCACTTGTGACATAAACACTTTAAACCACACTCGAATGAGCAGTTATCAGGGGAACAGCATCAGGGGAACTTTCAGCTTTTAGATCTCACCCTTTGGTGTGCGAGAAGTGAACTCAGAGTCAAAATAGAAAGTGTCGTCTGGACGTGCCACAGCCGGCCTAAATGGAGGCTTTACTTCTCTTCGGAAGAGTTTCTAAAAAGGTAGATGTAGAAAAAACGACATAATGTTGAAGACCATCATTTTTTTTTCAACGTACGCACGGTTTAAAAGTGCTAAAAACTCAGAGACTCACATTCCAATCTATAGTGGAGAAGAAGCCGTGCCGTTTAATTTCCTCCGCACCGTCAGCACCTGATCCTGTGAGCAAAGCATCAATAGCCTATCAATGACAGCATCACTTCCCTTCCCTGAAACTGTGTCCTATATTTAACCGTTCGGCGAAAGCCTTCTTCTTGATTTGAAACTAACCCAATCTGTTGGCAGGGTTCCTCTTGAACAAAGCCCTGAGCAGAGACTGGGCCTCTGCACTTAGGAACTGAGGCATTCCTAGACGTGCCCTACAGCGAGAGACGGGCAGGATGCAGCTTTAATTATTACACTGGAGGCATTTTGAATAGCGGCAGAATGTGACAACAGGCTTTTGTTTAGAACCGTTCTTGCAACCAGATGGTACTCACTTCAGAATGAGGTTCATGGTTTCTTTGCGGTCCTTCCCTTGAAATGGCAGCGCTCCTGTCAACATCTCAAACTAACAGGGAAAGCACATACAGTCAATACGACTGGATTTCATGCATGCGGTCGGGCAGTAATTCTGCAAGGCTTTGCATAAAAAAACAGATATGAAACATTCCTAGTTGATCATTTGTGAGCCAGCATGTTTTTTCCTCCTTACCATTAGTACTCCAAACGACCACCAGTCGGCACTGTGGATGTGTCCCTGTCTGTTCACTACCTCCGGGGCCATGTACTCCACGGTACCGCAGAAGGAGTAAGCTTTCTTCTCATGATCGATCGCTTCTTTACACAAACCAAAATCTGGAAAGCATACCCCAAAACATTGAGTCATTGTTAAATAATGTGCAGCACATATCTGTCACACACAAATCTATAGTACTTAATCTTTGTCTGCCGAGGCTCTGAACAAACTTAGGTCATCTTCGGTTCAGAGGATGCTAATAAGTACAATATTTATCTCAGGGAACATGTCCACATGCAGATATCTGTATATATAAGATATATAAGAACAGGATATACAAGGCGTTCACAGAGAAATGACATTGTTTGTGTGTTTCCGTAGTGACTGGAGCGTAAAACTCACCTGTCAGTTTGATATGTCCCTCTTCGTCCAGGAGAATGCTGAAAGGAAAGAGTGCACCAAGTCCCATTAAAAACACGAAAACATCCAGTGCTGTGTGTGCAGAACAAACGGTGCTCTATTGCTTTCTTTGCTCTGTTATAATCTGTTCAATCACTTGGAAATTTTGGTGTACAGCGTCTCTCTGGACTGAGTGATCACCAGCTGCTCAACAGATTCATACGTGAGGAGGGCATCTGTTGTGATTTTTGTGTCTCAAGTATAGGGGAAGGAATGTTCACAGCTGTGAAAATGTTAAGTACTGATGCTCCATTTGAGAATAGAGCTGATGATGACTACAAGCAAATGTAAACGATACATGGTCAGACAGCTTTATGACGTAAGAAATAAAATAGTTTCTGATTCATATATGAGCCAGTGAAGAACGTCAAGTATGATTGTTTAAATACAACAACCCATCTGTTACTTCTAAATGAGGAAAATGCATGTGCCGCTTATGGATTCTTTATAAATGCATCAGTTACTAGATTTTTTCAACAATAAAAAGCTTGTATACAGCCATCTGGTGGGGTTGAAAGCTTTTGGAGAAAAAAAAAGCACTAATTACATTTATCGGTGGCCCTTTCCCGGGATTTGGCCAGCAATAGAATTTTCTCTCCAGTGACTAGTGCTTTGAGCCGTGCTCAGAAAACATACTGTTTTATTTCTGAATAATTCCATTTTCATGGCAATACGTGTGCATTTGTGCTTACTTTTCAGGTTTGAGGTCCCTGTAGATGATGCCAAGGCTATGGAGGTGGTCTAGACCTAAAGCCAGCTCAGCAAGATAAAACTTCACATCTTCCTCCGTGAACATCACCTGGGAGGTGTAAAAAACATGCAGAGGTAGTGAAACACAAGAGGAAAAAGACAATCATGACAATAAATAAAAATCACAAGGATTGAGGGGTGGACCAAGTTTAGATCAATATTTTCGAAAAAGTGAACTAATCAACTTCACTGTGTATCAAATAAGAAACTATTGTGAGGATAGAGAAGTCGGTTCTCAGGCCCAGAAAAATCTTACCTCTTTAGAGAGTCTAGTGAAGAGATCTCCCCCTCTGAGAAAATCCAGGATCAAGTACAACTTCCCTTCAGTCTGGAATGCTAAGTAAACACAGGCTTCATTAAAATATGATAACGGTGAGTGAGAGGGTATGATTACAGTGCATTTTACAGGTCTGAAAGCACCGATCAGTCATGTCTCGGCCTGGAAGCATCACGCTTACTCACCGTAGTGCAGCTTGACAACAAATGGGTGGTTGACGTCTGCAAGGATGTCTCTCTCCATTTTGGTTCTCACACGGTCTCTCACTGAAGGACAAACGAGATAAACAAGAAATCAGACAGGAGAAGTGGTGGGTGATGAACCCTGTGCAAAGTCGCCCAGTAGGAATAAAGTCAAGCTCACGATATTAGTCTGACAAATATGAATTTTTGTGTCACGAAGCAACAAATCTTAACAGCAGCTAAAAACAGTATAAAATGAACAGTGCACATAGTCTGGCACTGGGAGTAAAATATCGAATGACAGCAGAGATGCTCAGTATTTCTAACAATCTGCTCATATAGTACATTTCTTCTGTATCAAAACATTGTGAGTGTAGTCATATCAATTGAATAAATTAAAAGACACAAATGTAACTCCCCAACAACTGCCTTTTGATCTACTATGGTCAAGCACAGAGGCGTATTATTTAAAGAGTTTTAAAATCTAGAAGACGCTGTCAATTGGCACAATCAGAACAACACTGAGAAAGAGAACGAATCGGATGTTTATCAAGGAGATGAGACCACACCATTTGTGCACAACCATGTGAGAAACCCACTGAAAGCTGCAGTGGTCTCTGCTCACATACCACTGCATCCAATTGGCAGGAAAGGAAACACCCTTTTACCCGAAACTACAACCATGTTAAAAAAAAAAGTGAAACAATCCTATTTGAAACAAGTTTCTAGTTAGTTTCTAATCTTTGAATCGATGTTCATGTGAAGTCACCACACGTCATCCTTCTAAATGTTTGAATGATTAAAACAAGAGAAACAACTAATCTTGGCTTTCAAGGATCAGAATCCAGCAAACATATGAAAAGCTTGAACAAGAGACCAATCATAACACCAAACAAAACACCCGACACAAACGGGAAGTGACTTTTTTCATTTGATTAACTTCCGTTACTGACTAAATGTGTCAGATCAGCTGCAGGACTTGATGCTGACGTTCAAAACAGGCTTAAAGGGTGGAGAGCTGAAGAAACACTTCGTGCAGCTAGTGTTTTTCATTTGGTCCCATCACAGCCACACGATTCAGGCATGCTGAAGTTATCTGTACCTTTGAGGGTGGCCTTCTTCAGGACCTTCATGGCATACAGCTGGTTGGCATCCGGAGGGGTCACTTTTCGCACGAGAAACACCTGCAAAATAAACGAAAACACCAAACACACCAAAGGAGAGCCAATGAAACATCGAGTTTACAGGGCAGAGGGTGTGGGAATGAGTTAGGTAAGGAGGAACAGAAACATGCATTATCAGACAGAGGGAGGGAAGGACAGAACAAACGTGAGTGTGTGTGTTGATACCTTGCCAAAGGATCCCTGTCCCAAAACCTTGAGCAGTTCAAACTGAGAGGCGTCAGCCTTCTCTGAGCCCTCTTTGACCACATGTGTGATGTTGATCTCTTTGATGTCTCCATCTTCCTAAAAAGAAGACAAAAATGCAGGAATATTAATATACTTTGAATGCTGTTATATTAATGTTGCAAAGTCGTATCTTTTATAAGAATTTTGTGATTCGGTCCGATAAGTTGTGTAAACAGGTCAGTTTGAAGTAGGAGTGGCTCTTGCTGTAAATAGCACTACATCAAAATATAACTCCTGAGAAAGAGGAAGCAAAGTGGAGAGAGAAACGTGTGCAAGTATGAGAGATTACAACTAGTGGGTTCTCGTTACTGTGCAAGTGTTATTTGGCGTTTCTGGAAATCATTGACTGCAAAGCTAAATGAAGCACAAAATGTAACTTTGAAAGAGCAGGGCCGTCTTTAAGAAGAGAACAGTAATGGTTAACCATTCCCCCTTGCAAACAACTTGTTTAACCTCAGCTGTGCCTTTCGTGATCAGAGACTTTTAAGAACACGTTCTCACACATCTTCTCACAGGGCGGAGCCCCGTTGCTGTGACAGCTCCAGCACACAAACACTTGCTGTATACCTGCTAACACTCTGCCTCACCCAAAACACATCAGCAGAAAGTCATAGAAAAATCAGCAGAGTGACACGGCTCTTTCTAGGGCCTGGCCATTTCACGTACTCCCTTAAAGCCCACAAGAAGACACAGCATGATTGTTTCAGGGCTCCATTTTCAATCCCGCGATGTAGTTGGAGGGAAAAGAAAGTACTTTTTACATTACAAAGTTTAAGAGTTACCTACTGGGTATTTAAGTTAGTACACAGCATTTAAGTAAATGTCCTTTCTGAATTGTTTAAACAAAAATGAGACCTTCACACAATGATTTGAAATAAGTGGTTGATTATGACGAGAACTGCCAGCGCATATTAATTAAATAGAAATTATGAGTAAACAACTTGAACTATTAGTAATTATATTTTTATGCCAAGAGGTGCAGATAGAGATGGATATATTTTTCTTTGTTCCTCCAACTCAAGAAGTGATGAATGAATTCCTTTTCCTATATATGACAACCTATTTACAATGATCAAAGCATGAGGATCATGGTTTCAGCTTTCAGTAAAACAGAAAAAGAAGAAAAGTCTCTACAGAGCAGCCACAGACCATTACAGCCTGGAACTCTGACAACAGGAAGCGGAGTTGGTTGAACATGCAAGCTCTCAGCTGCACCTTGTTGCTGAACAGCCACAGATAACAACAAACACAAAGCCTCCCCGGCACGTATCGGGCACTAAATCTCAAATGTCTATCGAAAAACTACGCGGACAGCCCCAGAAAAAGGCTGCGCACAGACTGTCGGCCAGAGCTTATCAAGATGTCAACATGATGAGGGATCACTTTACCGTCCACTGGTTGCCCGGTTCAGCCGGGACGCCATTGTCAGTGTCGCTGTCTGTGTCAGCTGTAGATCTGCAGCTGTTAAAGTGAGCAGGACTGCCGGCCAGGGACTTGTTCTTTTTGAACAGGTAGAGGAACAGCATGCGGCTCAGGCTGAACTTGCTCTTCTCCTTCTCCATCTCAGCATTTCTCGAACTGTTCTCTCATCCTACCCACGTCCACAGCGAGGCAAACACGGCACTATCTCCCATAAATCATCTCAAACCTAACCTCGTCTTGGCAAGTGCACATAACACTTTGTTGTGCCCTCATTTTTTCTCTTTTTTGTTTCGCGCTGCAGCCAAGTTTAGAAAAGAATTTCAACCCGTTTGCTTTTGTTTGGCAGGGGCCGCCCCGCTCTAAATTTCAGTAATGCTCGTTTTTCTCTTCTTTTCCCATTACATGTCCTGGTCCTCTCCTTTCTCCCTATCTTCTTGGCTGCGTTGGTCTGATTAGACCTGTGTGTCTCCACCAGCTCACAACAGATGAAGTGAGCTGGAACTAAATGTGAGCAGGAAGGAAGAACCTGCTCTCAATTCTCACAGTCCTGCACCCAACTTGTAGCACCCAAACACATCTGTGGCTAAGAGAGGGAGAGATTACACCAGAAAGAGGAAAAACAAGGGGGGGGGGGGCTGGCTGAAACTGAAAAACAAAAAAGAAAAAAAAAATAGAAGTTGCCATATTGGCTATTCTTTATGCTAATATAAAGAAAAATTTAGAAAAATATAGCTTCATGAACATTTAAAGACTCTTCACCACTTCCTTTTACCCAGAATTTGGGCAGAGTATTGGCATGCTTGAGAAGAGTCAGGCAATTCTCTCGCTGCCCTGACAACATAGATTTCCCTGTCCATGGCCAGGCATACCTTCCTCTTTATTACAGTCCAATCCTGCTCATCTCATCTTTAAAACAGATCTTGTCTGCTCTAATGTGGCCTTGTGCCATTTTTCTCCGTCCTGCATCACTGTCTTCTTATCTTAATACAATAAAAACCCTGCTGACCTGAGAGTCAAAGGCTTTATGCACCGATAAACGCTGAGGACAGAGCTATAGTGGATCTGATTTGTAGTGCGTGCCCTATAAAGCAGAACGCTTCCTATTTGTGTGGTTGGTGGATTGTATTTGCAGAGGGCAAAAGAGATAAAAATGCACAAGTGAGTTTCAGTCTGAGGAGGATGAAAAGCTCCAGTATTGCTTCAGAAGGACCAATATGAAGAAGCTAAAAATGCTGGTTGCTTACCTGGTCTTTAAAATTGGGAAACTCCCTCTCTATCCAGGTGATGTGAGATTCTCTCTACAGGAAGTGAGCGAATGCAGCAGTTAAGATACCTTTCTGGAAACATCAATTCTGAAGTTCCCTTTATTCTTAAATATGTACTCAACAAAAATGCACAAGCATCCATCAACACACGCACACATACACACACAGATAAGCAGGTATGAAGAGGGGCAGTTTGGTGGAGATTGCCACATTTGTCACAGGAAACTTCTCTTCCCTCCGAGTCTTCACTTCCTCTTTTCTGAAGCCCATCGAACTTCCTTCCTGCTCAATAACTCTAACATACAAGCACAGGGGAAGCCGAGTTTCCCGGCATAATGGTAGAGATCGCACGGAGAAATTTAGAAATTAAGCCAACATCTCAGATTGTTCACACATCAAGGTGCTAGCACTGTTCAGAAATGTGTGAGCAATCTGAATATGTAGCAAACGATCTGCAGACCCCGTTAGGCTGAAATCCCTCTCCATACTCTTTAATGTCATGAGCACAGTGGCAATAGCGCTGCATAGCATTTTTAGTTTATTTGTATTGATAAGTATTACATTGCACAGCAATGTGTACACAGAAAGATAAAGCGTGTTCCTGAATTATTCCCCGTATTAAATACTGAATGCTCCAATAGCCTGAATGGATAGTTTTCGATTACTTTTTATGATTAAGAGGAAAGTGGATCTTTCAAATTCACAGCTGACATGTTGGCAAGCCTGACGCAGTTAAAACTCCTCTCTTCCAAGAATATCACACCACTCACACAGCTGCTTCAATCTTTGGGCAAGCCCCCAGCAAAACCACCACCCACACACATTTACCGAAATGCACCTCGCATCAAAGGCAGATCATTAGCAAGAAATTTTTTTAAAATGCTTTAAAAAAAATCTGCCACTTGCCTCTGTTGTGTGAGCTTTGGTGCGAAATATGAGCCTCCACATGTCTGGGTCCAGATATGTCCATGTCACTGATGCAGTAACAAATACTCAGCCTGTGTGTCAGTTAGCTAACTCCTGTATGCAATACCACAAGAGATCAAATCTGGGTGCACACACACACGCACACACACTCAAAAATGAGAAGTGAAGTTTTAAAAAAGCAAGTATTCATGACTGAATTATTTCTCAGAATCTAAAGTTAAAGTAAAAGGCTCTAAAAGCAGCAGGAAGCATTTTCTTAAACAAAGAAAAAGAAACAATGAAAACGCCTGATGGAATGGTTCCAACGCACAAAGTACGACTTTTCTGGTAAAGGAAGTCTTTGTAACAGGCTAACAAAGATAATTAGGAACTGGCTTCAAGGTTGTATTGAAGTGACAATTCTGTCCGTTTGCTTTGGTGTCACATCTGGATATAAACCTGAACTTCTAAACCAACCCTGACTGTAAAATCAAAACGGATGAACAAACTACATCTGCACCAAGATGAAGTAGTATATGAGTCACACACTACACCTTAATAATCATCCTTTTTCCGCTACAAAGCCGATGTGGCGTGGTGTAATGCTCCATGGTAAACACAAGGGGGCTCTGCAAGATTATAGTCAGGCCCATGGCCAGCGCTTCAAAGAGGGGTTTTGTAAGATATGAGCTTTAGCCAAGTAAGGACATGCTTACATTGCTAGCTGATGCCTCATAAGTCCTGGTATTGGCACAGAAAGGGTGATATAAACTGGTAGAGAAAGGGAGGGTGAAGGTTGTGGTGCAGGGCCGAGTGCAAGGTCATGCAGGTCTGAGCCCCACAGCAGACATGTCTTGCTCAAGTTTTCCTAAAATGAAAGTCACCGCAAGCCAGATTAAATGTTGTCAAGGTTTTCAGAGGAGTCATAAAAAAAACCCAACACTGGATGTGGTTCCTGTAAGCTGACAGAGTTTTGCATGAGCCTTAGAGGGTTCATTCAGGCTGGAACTGAGACACAGTTCCCCCTCTCTGTGCCTTTCTGCTTATTCTCCTTCCTGGAAAATGGGGCAGGAGCACCTGCATTTTTTCAGCGGGATGACAGCTCCGAATGCTGTAACAGAGAGGGACTGCTGGGAAAAAGAAAGGCGGGAATGACGAGCGTATACGGATGGAGCTAGCAGTCTAAACACTGATCCAGCCAAGCGTGGTTTCAGTCTCATTACTGTGAAAACAAATATCTCACACCAGACTATGTCTGTGGAGCACATGCACAAACCAGAAAAAATGACAAGCATAATCTACATAATTAAAACAGAGACTGTAAATACTGCAGGCGGCGTGAATAACTTTTTTTAGGGAGCATTTTCCAATTAAAATAACAAAAAGGCCCTGAAGCTCAAGCCTTAAGGTTTGAGCTGAAGGTTTATTAATATTTTATCTGTCGCCTACACACTTGTCTTGGCCTACAACTCATTCAACATCCTCTTAACATAAAAATATATATTATAGATTTGGCATTCTTCAAAGTAAAATTAGTTTATCTGTTTATTTCGAAGTTGCCTTCCACACATTTATAGGAAGCCATATTGCTGGATGTTAATTTAACTGTTAGAATGGGTCTCTGAGCAGATCCGCTCCATTTGCCTCATTGATTAAGTCAGATTCTGGAGTGCTCCAACCTCACTGTTCTTTGTGGACTGACACGGAACATGCTGTCCTCATGAAAGTATTCATTGTCCCACTAAAACCAGTATAGAAACCATCAGTTATTCTTGAAAAACAGCAGTGGGGTGATTCAAGTTCTCCCCTTTCTTGTGCAAAATTCCTGTGTTAAAAAAAAAGGGGATAGAAAAACTGAAAAATATGCAACAGAGCAATGGTTTAACAGTGTATGGCTATGGCCTCACATTATATAACTTTTGGTATGCGCACATCCCCACACAAAGGGACTCTTTGAAAGGTATACAGCTCCCCAGAGAACCCTCTCGCTGTTTGCGGAAAAGTTTGGTGGAAAAGCTTAAACATTTCCATGTTGGTGTTCCCTCCTCTATGATACTTTTGCATCAGTCTTAGCCTTTTATACAGCTGTCTACAACAATCTGCTTTAATGTCTCTATGTGTATTCATTATTATGTAATTATGGAAGGCAGTTATCATGGTACAAAATTCATATAGTGCCTTACTACACCAGGCCAATCAGATTTGTTTTGAAATGTTCTCAATGTTATAATATTGACAACAGTTGTTCCACTTAATTAAGTCGACTGTTTGTTTAATGTGTTGAGATCACATTTGGTGGGACAGTTGTAGGCGCTGTATAAATACAGCTGAAGTTAACTGTACACAATTACATCAGTATTTAGGATTTTTTTGTGTATGTGCCCACAGGAGAGTTCAGACATACCTACAGGCACACCCACATCTGTCAGGTGGAATCTGTCCCTCTGGCTGACTCGGCCTGAAACTAATCCCCCTCAGTAATATGTAATATTAAAGAGTGGGACTAAGCTACTGAGGGAAAGATCAAGTTGAAACTGTTTTATTTTCCTTTCTGTGATTAACAGATTTCCTGGGACACATTTTAAACTTCCCCTCAATCCCTCCATCTGTTTCATGTCATCTTTTCTTCTGTCCATTTTTTCCCTCTCTGGTCCCCTTTTTACCCCCGAGCAACACCTGCTGTTACAGCCATGACAGCTAAAGGGGAAGCCACGTCAGCATTTCCCAGTGAAAGCTCCGTACCGAGCAAAGGGATTGAGAACAGATCTAAAAAAAAGACAAAGAGCGAAACATCAGGTTGGAGGTTCAGGTTCAGTGTGGCACACTTCCCCAACTTACAAGCTTACAAAGAACACAAAAGTAGCAGCCAAGCAAATACTTACAGTCTTAATCCCCAACTGCTTAATATGATTATCTCTGTCTCTGCCCGACTGGCTATTGTTATTCAACAGAAAGATGGAGGACAGGGT